TTAGACCGTTTTAGACTACTTAATATATTACATTATCTCTAAGTGGTGCATGGAAAACTAAGGTAACATCAGACAACAAGAAATTAAGAATTTTTTACAAAAATGAACAGTTACATGGGGGGGGGGATATTGCATTAGTACATCATTACTAATGCATATAAATCAATATCAGTTCCAACTCTCCCGCAAAATTTAACAAGGAATAATGATTCTACAAAACAGCTGATATCTCCCTAGTCTTTTACTTTGGGCTTGCTTTTTATGAGCAGGCCCACAGGTGCATGAAACAACCTCAGGCTGCCCACAGCTGTGTCCCATTCAGCAGTCATCTGCCGTCTTCACACAGGTACAGCAGACTTGGTGAGCTTCCGGGGGGGGGGGTCCATGTGGGTGAGAAAATGGCACCCCTTCACTCACTGTCCTTTTCGCCAGCCTCTGCTCACTTCTCCTCCAGCTGCATTCATGAATACAGTACTGCATTCATGTCTATCCCAGATTTCCTTGAACCTTGCTATCTGCTCTCTCTTTTGGTCCAGGGACTCTTTAGCCCAGCCATGTCCCCCCACTCCCCCCCAACCTGCAAATTGGTTGATTGGCTTGTTGTTTATGAGAGAATTTTCCCCTTCAACAGTCTGGACTCATGATTTGCATTTTTAAAGGTCACATTTGCATGATGCATGCCCTGCCCTTGGGGTGTATGTGAGTTCTTCTGACTTGGAAATTTGCGGGTAGATTGATTGCTGCAGTCAAAAGGACTCAGGAGTCAGGATATTGTTCTATAACATCCAAGTCAATTTCAGCTATCAACAAACATGTGCCAACACAGCAGCTGGCAGCTGCCTTTCCGAATGCCTGGACTGTGGACTGGAAACTACAATAGGCAGCAAATAGGTACATAAATGTATAATATTCTTCATTTAAATTATGAGTAGGAGGCCATTTTTAGGGGTGAGGAAACTCACCTTGAAATGCATTTGTGTATTTTGAGATGGGTCAATTCGCCCTATGGGCTCCATATTTTTCAGTTTTAGCAGCTTCACTAGCAAGACTTGATCCCTCTTTTTCCAGATTCAGGAAGTTATATGTGATTATCTCTTAAGTGACTGTTCCTTTGAAATGGGTCTGTTTTCTGCAGCCTTCTGCAACCCACTGAAATGTTTATTAAGAAATGCAGGTAATGATTGAAAGCATTGGGGGGGGGGAGGTTGTTTTGAACCTAAATCTGCAAGTTCTAGAACCCCAAGTATCTACAGTACTTAATGACATCGGTCATAAGCTCCCTTAATATTCTCTGTTGAGCACTTAAATGTGAAAAGAAAAATGGTAGCAGGTTTGTTGGACCACTGCTTATCCCCTGTCATTGGGAAGAATCGAGATATCCTTATTTTTCTGCCGATACACTAAAGAACCAAGTGTTTACAATAAGAGTCAGTGTGGTGCAGTAGTTAATTCAAAGTCCCACTTGGCCTTGAAGCTGACCTGGTGGCCTGCCTTGGTGGTGAGGTGCTGACCCTGCGTGCTGTCTGAATCTCCTTAGAGGAAGAACAGGATAAAACTGTAGTAATAAAAATGTCATTCTAACCAACCCCTGTTCAGTTGCTATCCAGTGACTCTTCCTGTCATCTCCACTTTTCCAGGGAGTGACAACTCCTTAACAGAGAACAAATTCACACAATTGAAAGGGTCATTGGATGTTCTCAGGTCCTACCTGGTGCTTTGATGTGGAGAATATTATTCCTAAACACGATAACAAGGATTACTGTCTTTTTAAAATTATTGGCTCTAAGGAATAGTCCATTTAAAATCATCTGGGACTGAGCGTTTAAAAACCTGCCAGCCAGCAATTCTAATAGTAACAAGGCTGACAGTCCTGAAAAGAAATCACAATGGAAATAAATTGGAAATTGTGAGTGGAAATAATGGGTAGACAGTGGTCTTTAATTATTTGAAAACCAATGAGGATATATGGTGTCTTTTTGCAGTATGTCATTCAGTAACTATGTTGCTCCTATGTGTTTACAGTGCAGACATCTTTCTTCATAGCTTCATAGTATATGCACTTAGCATAGGAGCCAACTCCTAGGGGCCGAGGTCCCTCCGCCCCCTCCCCAATAAAATATTTGAGGGGTCTGGGCTCCTCAAAGTTGATGGGCACTGCCATTCAAATGGTATGCTTGTGATCAATAATGCAGGGCAGGGCTAACCTAGCCCCACCCAATATTTTATTGAAGTTGGCACCCCTGGTTGGTTCTTAGGCAATTGTGATTCATCTGCAGGTTGCTCATATTGTGATTATTGTCTTGCATGTCATTATTAAGTAGTAAAATAAAATTACAGGTACATTTGATGAAAATTTAAAATCATGTTAAAACATTAAAGTAAGAATAAAATCCAGCATTTCAAGTAAAAATGTTCAATTGCCATGCTCCTCCTCCACCATTCCACACTACCACATGCATTCCTGATAAATACACGGAGATGTGTTGTTAAGACATTGATGCTAAATCAGAGATTGCAAATACACAGTACAGCACATTTGGGAGACACAATGGGCAGCCAATTGATAAGTAGATGCTCATGGCACACATACATATATTGGAACCCCAGTTGAAACATGTGTACATTTTTCGCCTATATTTAGGCACAGGGTAGCACTGGTGTCACTTTCCATGGCTGGCTAATGTCATATGGTTTAATTATTAATGTTTGAAAATATCAGCATGTCACCTGTCATTAAACAGCATAATTTCATTTGCTATGGAGCATTTGGGTGCGTAGGCTCACTTGAGTTTTTGTTGATACTGAAGATGGAGACATGGCAGGAATGGAGGGGTGGTGGCAACAGCATGAAATATTTCAGGGGAAAGTGCCAGTTGTTTTTGCACTTTGGCACTTTTATGGGGAGTATAAGCTGCACAAAATGAAAAAATGGGTGAATTTGCTTAATGTATAGAGAGGATGCAGATCATGCTGTTAGTGCAGAATTTGGATTACCTTTCAGCAGAATTTGAAGTTTGCAGGCATGGAGTACACACAACACAGCTTACATAATTTTATCTATAATAGGAATGGTTTCCCCTGACGAGTCTTTTTATTCACACACATTCATATGCACTGAAAGAAGTAAAGTCATAAGCATAAATGGGACTGTTGATGAATGTAGGTCATTTTATTGTATTAATTTATAGGAAAATTATCTTTTGCCTAGCCCTTACATTGCACAAGAGGAAAATGAAAGGCTGGATGTCAGCTTCCTCTAAGCCAGCTGCAAGGTTCTCAGATTTATAACAGGGCTTAATTCTATATTCTCCACTACCATAGACTTCACTTCTGTTTACTCCCAGAGTTCATTTGCTACAGAGTCTCCTTCACACAGTCTCACCACAGCTGTGGTGGCCACTTCTCCGCCTCATCAACTCTCTATCTCATTTCCAGTCTCACGTGAAAACAATTTTTCTCCCTTGCCAGCACTTCTTAGTTTCTTTCTCCATCATAGTTATTATTGAACTCTACAACTGTATTTAACCTTATTACAAATTTTTGAAATGCACTCAGAAGGGAAGACCCTGGGGGGTAGATATCATTAGCTCAGCCAAATGGTTTTGAAGAAGGGATTAAAGGTGAGGAGATTCAAAGGACACTTAAATTTGTTTATTAGATTTGGGTACTCTTTCTCCACTCCTACTCTCCCAAGTTCAAGGAACTAGTTCCATCATTTGTCCAGTTTATTTTTAGCTATTCCTCTTCTCCCTTTCTCATTTGACAAAGATCCCATGTTCATAAATGATTTTGTATTTTTTAAAAACTGGCTTGTTTTTTTTAAGTCTGAGTGGGTAATAAAATAGTACCACTTTTCTAAAAAGAAATAAAGAGACACCATGGGTGGGATTCACCTCACCAGTCCTGTAAAGTAGAAGCTTTGCGTGAGAACACCCACTTGCTCAGCTGGGCCTTCCCTTTCCTGCCTTGCACCCCACCTGCACCCCCCAAAATTAGCTTGTAGGGCATCAGGAAAATTCCCAAAGCAGAACATGGGACAAACGGGTATTGTTCTGTTTGGCAAGCTGAAATGCTTGGGCAAATTGAACGCTTGGAAGAGCTCAGTGTTGAATTTCACCCCTGGCCTTTCCTGTTTTCTTTGTCACGTGCTATGAAAGTTTACCTGTCAGTGTTTCATTTTTTAAAATTATCATTATTTTACAATCAAAATGCCTGTCTTCTCTCATTACTGTGTTACTCTAGGGCCACATCCGCACCATATATAGAAAATAGTACTGTACCTCTTTAAACAGTCATGGCTTTCCCCAAAGGATCCTGGGAAGTGTTAAGGGTGCTGAAAGGGGAATAGAAGGTCTGAGTTCTCTGGTCCTGTTAGCTAGGGATGATGGGAGTTGTAGTCCCAAAACATCTGGAGGGCTGAGTTTACCTATGCCTGTTGTAACCCTATGAACTCCAACTCCCATCAGCCTTAGACAGCACAGCCTAATGGTCAGGATGATGGGGCTAGAATCTGAGAACACCTGGAGGGCTCTAGGTGAAGGCAGGAGACTTGTGAGGAAGGGAAGAGAGCCTCAATAGCTTAGTGACAGGGAGTTTTATTCCATTCTTCTATGGACATGTGACTGGCCTTTTCCCTCCATTCCTGCTTCCAGCCCTTGAGGGAGGAAAGCCAGCCCCTGTTGAGATTTGTTTTCCTGCCAGTCCAGCCTAATGTCAGCTGCCTTCCTCTTTCGTAACAGGGCAGGAAGGAGAACCTTGAAGGGCTTTGTCTGTGTTGTTGACAGCCATCAGGGGGTCCCCAGGGTTCAACTCTAGCTCAGCCTAGCTTGATGAGCTGAATGTAGCTCTCAGTCCTTTTAATATAATCAGCAAATAGCCAAAATTCCTTCTACAATTAAATATATTCAATTACATGGCCAAACACTAATTTAGATGGAGGGAGAAATTAAGCAGGCAACGGTCTCTTGTGAGAACAAAAAGGCCAGAAATGAGATGAGGAGTAATGGAATAAAAGTTTTATTTGATAGAAGGGAGTGCAGGCAAGTTGCAACCCAGCTGAAGATGGGAAGAATCCCCTCATCACACTTCAGAAGGCAGAGCTTTCAGATAAACATTGAGCTCATCAGGGACCTGGGTAATTGGATATGGAGAATCCTTCTTCAAAGTTGTCAGTTCAAATCTAGTGCAGCTCAGTTATGATGGGGAGTTACTGAGATCTGAAGATTGTTTGTCGGCCTTTGTGAGATGTATTAGGTGGTCGAGCTCCACTCCCCAAGGACAACTGTCTGTATAAGAAAAAACACCACTGTAATTAGTACAGATTCTCAGACTTCTCTTCCAAAGATGATTATATATGAAGTTTATATAATGTTTAAAGAAAAATTATTCTAGGCATTTACAAACAAGCAAAGAGCTCCATATTAGAGATGAGGAATTCACAACAATCATAATTGGTGGTAAAACAGTTTCCATTTTAACTGTGATCTTTGGTCAGATCTGTTCTATTCAGAATAAAAATGTCTGCATAGTTCACATGCGAGGCTGTTTCCAAATAATTAATTCTGGGTATATTTGGCACATTTAACACCCTAAAATATCTGGTTGCTTGGTTTATATAGAAGCTGCTATACATTGATGTTACTGGCAAATTTCCCACTGACTTCAGTGGTGCTGAGCAGCAGTTTCAATGTTTGACAATAACAGATTATACACCATAAAATAATGAGTTTGTCATGATACTTTAAAAAATATAGATATCAATGGACTGATTATTTCCCTGTGGTTCCTCTTCTGTATGCAAAATTATGTTGCATACTTTTTTTCAGACATTTTGGAGGACTATTACTTTAAACATACTTGTTATATATAAAAAACATGTTTAAACAGCAGAAACACAATTTAGCATAATTTTATGCTTTTTGACTTTTAAAAGACGTACAAAATCATGACATACATGATGATGTGTTTACATGAGCTAACTGCCTTAGCTACACGTGCATATTAAAGATTCTCTTTCTTTCAGGGGGACTTTTGTAGTATAATGTTGAGCACTCACCTGCTATATCACTCTTTTCATAGCAGCACATATGTAGTCTTTATTCTTAAAAGATGGCAAATGCTGGCATCCTCCCCAACAGGAACCTGACAGTTTGTCAATTTTTCTGCAGGTTGTACACTCTTCTTCTTGGTGAGCCACAGAACACATCAACCTTGGTGCTTTGAAAGCAATACAAACATGTACAGAAAATCAATACAAACAGGTACATATTGAAAATATTTGAATAAAAGTATTGTCATACATCTCATCCTTAGTTACAGATAGGTAGCCGTGTTGGTCTGCCATAGTCAAAACAGAAAAAATTCCTTCCAGTAGCACCTTAAAGACCAACTAAGTTAGTTCTTGGTATGAGCTTTCGTGTGCATGCACACTTCTTCAGATACACCAGTGTATCTGAAGAAGTGTGCATGCACACGAAAGCTCATACCAAGAACTAACTTAGTTGGTCTTTAAGGTGCTACTGGAAAGAATTTATCTCATCCTTAGGTTTTTCTGTTCTCCCACTGTATTATATAGCGAAATCCTACCACTGTCTTTGAATTTTACTTCAGAAATTATCAAAAAAAGGATAAAAAGCAGGTGGGAATGGGTCATCTACTGACATCCCTATTGATGCTTACTTGGAAGTAAGTCCCAGAATGTTCAGTGGGACTTACGCTGCAGCAAGTGCATTTAGGATTGCAGCCTAAGTGCGCATCCAGATACTTGTAACTTGAGTTGTGAGTCCGCTGTGGATGAGTATTCATCAGGTTTTGTTCACCTTTTCCTTAAGGAAAATCCATCCTGTTTGTAGCTGAACCTGGCTGTGCTGTGTTGGCTAGCTGCTTACAACATCATGAGGCCACTTATTCCCCTTTTAATTTTTTCAGCTTTTTTAAAAAAGCTGTGGCTTTAAAAAAAGAGTGGCTTTACAAAAAACAAAAAAAAGCAAGTGAAGAGTCACATCAAAGTGCAAGTAGATAAACAGGTACCGCTCCGGTGGGAAGGTAAATGGTGTTTCCGTGCATTGCTCTGGTTCGCCAGAAGTGGCTTAGTCATGCTCCCTCGGCCAATAAAGCGAGATGAGCACCGCAACCCCAGAGTCGTCCGCAACTAGACCTATGTTCAGGGGTCACTTTGCCTTTATGTCTGTCCATAGCATCCCAACATAAAAAGAAAGCAGACACACCCCAATGGGAAATTTGTACTATGACACAAGTTTTTAAATATGTCTGTAGGTATCCTAATGCTCTCCATAAACCCTTAACCAGACTGTTAGGCTTTTAGATTTGTGGAGAGACCACTCAGATTTAATAAAGAAAAGTTTCTAAGTCATGTGCCTGTGGTTTATATATTAGGCTCAGCAATCATAAAGCTAATATAATAACTATCAAACAGTATTGAAAGGACTATCACTGCAGTGGTGCAGGGGGAAATAATCTCTTGAAGATAGTATTGGCTTTGGCCCCATAGCCTTAGCCCTCAGACTTATCCATGTATAGCCACAGATATAAATACAGTGAGTACTTCTGGGCATATACACAGAATACCTTACCTTTCCTGTCTCCACACACTTAGAATGAAGGAATACTGTAGATGTGCATTCTTCAGTTCAGGTTGGGATCCTAGCATACCTTTAAAGGTCGCTTGCCCTCATTTCCACAGACAATATTTTGAGAACACAGTGTTGGAGGAAGACATGTCATTATTGCAGGAAGTTTATCAACAGAACCATCTTGGCTCATTTCCACCAGTGTCGATTATTCAAAGATAATTAAGATGTTAAGGATTTAGCTCTTGGTTTAAAGGTATTTTTGAGTGGGCATGAAAGTTTATTAAAATGACATTATCTGCTCGTATTCTAGGTCAATTACATTTAAAAAAAAATCTATATACCATGATTGGATCCCTTTCAGAACTTGAAATATGGGTACCCCCAACAAAAAAATTAAAATTCGGCTTTGTAATTTGGAATTTCTGTGATTTGATTTGATTGGTCTGTTAATAAAAATTATTTTTTAAAAATTCCATATACCACTGTGCAACACCTCAAATTATATTTTACTATTTTAGAAAGTACTAATTAATATCCAGTTAATTGTATACAGTAGTTTATTTATTTCTTTTGGGATCTTTCGATTTACAATTGCCATGTAAACCCCGAAATCTCAAAAGGCGCTAGTCCCTAATACAGACAATACGATTATAACAATTAATATCCCTCCTAGTTTCAAATCCAGGTGTACCGTTTTTGTTTCAACTTCCCAAAATCATGGTTTGGATTATACGAATTCTCGGCCGGGGTTTTTTTTTAAAGGTATACGGCAATTTAATTAGCCAGCGGCACCACTTACTTGGGAGCAAGCCCCGCTGAATGCAATAGGACTTTACATCTGAGCAGTATTGCGCCGTTCCACCATTATTCCCATAGGCAGATTCAGACCACACCCGCGACTGCGTAGACCAATGGCTGCTCCCGCAGCCATATATCCCCACAAAGCAATGGCGGCTTAAGCTACGCCTTCCCCTCCTTACCCCCGCAGAGCAATGGCGACTTTTACGCGGCGTCATGTGACGTCGCATTCTACAAGCGAGCGCTGTTGAGTGTGACGTGTCAAGACGCCCAAGAACGCTATGCGCGAGGCTGTGGAGCCGCGGTCCGGCTACGGATGCTGCCGGGTCGATTAAGCAAGGTAATTCCGATTGCCTCTCCGCGCGCTCGCTGCAGCCCCGAGTGGTTGCCTAGCAACTGAGCCCGCTTGCCCGTAGGAGCGCGGGCCCTGTCTTTGTGGGCCTGGGCGAAGGTGCGCCCTTCCTGTGGAGGAGGGAGCAGGCATAGGGCTCCCTCCCCAGGGACGTCCCCACAGCTGCGCCCTTTGGCACGGTCCTCGAGACCTGGGAGGGGACGTCTGCAGCCTCCAGTTGCTGCTGCTTCGTCTTCCCTTGTGGCGTTTCTGTGCCTCAAGAGCCCCTTGACCAGGTGGAAGTTCACCAGGGGAAGTTTTCTCTCTAGGGGTGGGAGGGAAACGCTGCAGCTGTTGGATGTTTTGCCCGCCATGCAGCAATTCAAGGCACTGTAACTGTGCCAGAGGGCAAGGCGGGGGGGGGGGGAGTGACTCTGCCCTTAAATACCTGAGCTAATGTAGCTGGGTGTGTGTTTGCGATTCGCATATCCCCCTCTAGGTTTTGGCAAAAGGCGTATTGGGGAGGATTTGGAGAAGGAAGTGCTCTTGCATAATGAGGGATATATATTTAGGATTTTAGGCCTACCACTAAAAACTGCATTTCTGAGTGCAAGGCCTCTTGGTAGTTGTGGAAAACAAGGGTGCCCTTTAGTTTTCCTCCCTTGCCCTTCCATGCAGGGTGCTACTAGTGGGGGATTTAATGAGACTATTTGTTTGTTGCTTTATGATTTATTGAAATAAAAGGGGGTGAGGGAATCCTTCCCTCAGCCTTCCCTAATACAATACTGGGGAGGAAATGCTGTGACGTTTTAGGGCAATTGTTGTTGGTATGGCTGTGGAAAGTTATTAAGTGGTTAGTAAAGGTAAAGGGACCCCTGACCATTAGGTCCAGTTGTGACCAACTCTGGGGTTGTGGCGCTCATCTCACTTTATTGGCCGAGGGAGACAGCGTACAGCTTCCGGATCATGTGGCCAGCATGACTAAGCCGCTTCTGGCGAACCAAAGCAGCGCACGGAAACACCGTTTACCTTTGGGCCGGAGCGGTACCTATTTATCTACTTGCACTTTGATGTGCTTTCAAACTGCTAGGTTGGCAGGAGCAGGGTCCGAGCAACAGGAGCGGGGATTCGAACTGCCGACCTTCTGATTGGCAAGCCCTAGGCTCTGTGGTTTAGACCACAGCGCCACGCGTGTCCCAAAGGTATAGTAGAATCATAGAATTATAGAACTGCAGAGTTAGATGGTATCCCAAGGGTCATTTAGTCCAACCCCCTGCAATGCAGGAATTGCAGCTAAAGAATCCCTAATGGATGGCCATCCAGCCTCTGTTGAAAAACCTGAAATGAAGGAGAGTCCACCACATCCTGAGGGAGTACATGCCAGGAAGGTCTTCCTTACCACTGTGGGTTAGGCCTCAGCTTCTTGAGCATGTTTTTATTGCTTAATGAATGTAATAATACTGTGGTAATTACTGATTTGGCCATATGTTACTCTGAGCTGTGTATCCCCAAGGTTACATTTATGCAACTCTCTTCATATGGTAACATTATTCCATAGTGTAAACTCAAAAAGCTACAAGTGTATTCCTCTAAGAGGAAGTTGTTCCATCAAGGATAGATCACACTATTTCTTACAAGATCTTGCAAATAAATGGTACCGCAGTGTAAAAATGGTGTTAAAGTGAAATAATTTTTCCTCCTTCAGTGGTTTACATGAGATTCATTGTTATCTTATCCTAGAATAACCTTTTCATTTGACCCTTCTGAAATATTTATTGACTGTCAGTGGGATTGCTAAATGTAGTTTGATTTTAAGTGCAATCCTATGTATATGTACTTAGAAGGAAGTCCCAAAGAATGAGTTGGTTAGATTATTTAAAGCTATTTATATATTGGTCTTCAGCTAAGTAAAACCAGAGCGGTTCACAAAATACAATAGGATAAAATACATATTAAAACCATTATAAAATTATACCCACTTCAGCCAGCAATAAATACAATTTCAAGCTGGGTCTGATTTATGGAATATAGGGTTCTTTAATTGTTATGTATTGTTACTTTTCCTTATTTTATGCTCTGCTTTATGTTTATGCTCTTAAAATTTTGCAAGTTGCTTAGGAAGTCCTTACATAGCAAGCAGTTATTAAAATGAAATAATAATAATAATAGTCAGCAAAGGTTGGGATAAAGAGCTAAATCTGAAGCAGGTGTTGAAATCCAACACAATCTGCACCAAGCATATTTCAGGGCAGAGGGAGTTCTGTGGAACGGATACAGCCACAAGAAAGGCCCTTGCTTAGGTTGCCGCATTCTGTGCCACAGCCAGTGGTGACACCATTAGGAGAGCCTCCTTTGATGATCTTAACAAACAAGTAGGTCTATATGGAAGCAAATGCTCCTTCAGATATCCAGGCTTCAACTTGTATTGGCAATACAATGACTGACTTCTAGGTGGGACTTGCTCATAGGTAAGTGTGCATATGATCTTAGCTTTGGTGTTGCTCATAGATAGGGAACCTATAGCCCTCCATATCCTGTTGGATACCAGCTCCCATGAGCCTCAGCCAGTCAGGGACAACTGTAGTTCTAGTCCAGCAACATCTGGATAGTAAGTTACAGGTTCCCTATCCTTGCCTTAAAGTATGGGGCTGTCTTCCACCTTTCAAGATACAGGTATTGAGACTGGAAACTTGAGCATAGCCTAGTGAAAATATGGTTCAGAGCTATGGCAGCTGCATTTGTGGTTATAGCTTCAAAGCAATGGAGATTCAGCTGGGACCTTAGAGTCAGCCCTTAGTTGAGGCAAACAGGCAAGTGGCTGATTACAAGCCTATTTTATTGTAAATAATGAAAAATAAAGTAACAGTCCGTTGTTAATGCAAGCCCCTTTTAGGTTGCTGAAAGGACTGCCAGTCAACACAATTGAACACATTATTAAATAACAGATTTCAGCCATTATACTTGCCTATGTGGGCTTATGAAGAACAACATAATAAAATGTTAGCCAGACAACTGTAATATCTGCCAGTATTGGCACATGATTTACTGCCTTCTGTGTATCACTATGTACCATAATACAGGCTGTCTATCCACAGTATTATTTTAAAAGCATTTGTCATGCAGCCCATTACTTTATTTATTATGTTTCTGAGAAAGCCAAAAGTTTTTAAAAGGATGTATTCATACCCATTCAAATTTAAATAGGAAAAAAATCATTAAAACATAAACATAAGGACACTAAAGGAGAAACCTTATAATAAGGAAAAGGATTTTGCTTAATAATACTTCGTTCAGCATTCCAGCAGTTTCTAAGCCATTTCCATTCTTCTCCAAACACATCAATTTTGTTTCTCTTCTCTAACACAAAAATATATTATGTAATTTTATTCATGATTTCTTTGCCCCATAATTTTCTATACCATTCTTTCAGAGATAGAAAAAGAAATTGTCTCCTTAGTTTTCCAGTACAGTATGTTGCAAATAAAAGTATAGCTGTAACAGTGCCCTTTTCTTTCAGGAATAGTTGTTTCAGAAAACCTTTAGGCATAATCCTAAACCCACTCACTAGGGAGTAGGCCCCCACTGAACACAATGTGTTATTAAACTTAATTTTTGGTTTGGAGAAATATGAGTTTAAGTATATTGTTTGTTCTTACACACATGTCCCCCAACAGTCTGCAAAACCCACCTTTCTTTCATCTTGCTTTGAACTTATTTCGCTACCATTAGAGTGTTAGACAACACTGTGATAGTAATTTATTGAAATTGTCTGAGTACTAAATATTTTCACCCAAATATATTTCTGTAAGATTACTGACAGCTTAACTTTTAGGGTCTCCCATCACTCATTTATATATATATTTCCGGACCCTCTTCTGTCCCGATATGTAAGCCACCCCTACTCTGAACCAACTTGCAATGCTTCTTCAACACTTTGCTGTGCATGTTACATTTTCTGAGGGGCAAACTAGATATGGCAGTCTTTGCCTTTAACATACAGATTTTTTTAAAATGCTATTAGCAGCTGTATGGATGGCTGATAAATATTGGGATGGAGGAGATGTGGAGGGAGACTTTACCCATTTTCTGCCTTGCAGTTACAATGGAAATAATTTCGTGAAAACCTGTAAAGTTCCCGGCACTTTGGGAGCTCCAGAGCACATCTGGAGAATGCTCCACATCTGCTGTGATCCCAGTGATTTTCAGTTCCCTTCCAAGTGGATAGTTAGTGCATTTTAAGAGGAGTTTAAGTCAGACACACATTTAACATTGCATAGTTTATCCCTGAGCAGAGGCCAATTTAGCCATACATTTGGAGGTGTAATGCCAAGGAAACTGACCAAGTGATTGAGGAGTGGTGCTCCAAAGCAAATATGGAGTGCTGCAGCCTGCGAAGATGTCCTCACTCTCTTGAGTGGAGCTGTCTTCCCCACAGAAAAAAACGGGGATGAGTAGCAGTGCATATGGTAGTCTGTCTCAGAGGGAGCTTTTTAAACTGTTGCTATTATTTCACACACTGGCAAATCCAAGTTATGCAATTCAAGTTGATGAGGACTCTTGCATGACAAACCCACTCTTTCCCCCAAATCAGACATTTCACAATAAGGAAAGTGATTGCATGCACCAGAAAGTAGGGAATGATGATTGCTTGATGTCATGTAACTTCCCCGTATATTAATAAAAATGAATGCTCGGTAAGTAGTCAACATCTTCTAACCTCCCCACAATCTTTGTGCATATTAATAAGGATAAATGCTCAATAAACAGTTCATCTGGAAGCAACCAGAGTATTTCTAAAAGTGCAAGATGTAAGGATGGAGATAACAGGATAATAGCATTCTCAAATGATATACATAATAGAGGAGCAGCTCACAGGCGAATTTAATCCACAAGCACATTTTATATCATGCAATGAGGTATGAACACGGTTTCACTTAGAACCCCTTTGACTAATGATATGAGATAGGGCTGTAGCTAAATACAGCTTTGTGCTACTATCATCTGGTAATGCATGGAAAACAGCTTGCTGGTTTTAGGGAAGCTTATCTTTTGGAAGAGTGACTAATTTGCCTTTGCATAAATAGGAGTTCAAAGGAAATGAATGCTGTTTATCCAGGATTTAGGGAAGATTTTGTAAAATAGATCTAGTCCTGTGAAGCTCTAACCTCCTCCAGTTCTCTAGTATTTGGGATTTTTTTTGTTTTGTATCTCTGGTCCTAAAATACAAAAACCTACTGAGAGAAAAGGAGATTCTGTACTAGCTTTATACGTTGCAGAGTTGTTTCAAAATAACAGAAATTGCATTATATAATAAGGTCACCAGAATTATACTTTGTTTTCTCATGTAAGGTTAATTTTGGTTTATGGAAATTTGGATAAGGATAGGAGGAAAAATCTCTTTCTAGGTAGAATAGTATTAAGACTGAACTCATGGACTTTTTTACTGTAGGAAATTTGTTTATACAGTATGCAATCTTGTAAGTGAACTGTTGGAACACATGTTGCATTTGTGAATTACAGGCCATTTAAACTGACAGATGTGCAGTTAAACTATTTTAGCCTCATGAACAAAACTAGTCTAGTTCTAGTGTCTTACCTTTTAAAAATTGTTTTTATTAAAGGATTTTCATGGTTAACAAGGGTACATACAACCTCTCTGTTTTCAGAGGTATGTGCCTGTAGTGGTGCAGCCTCTCCAGCAGTTAGGTGAGGTTCCTGGGTGTATCAGCGCCAGCTTCTGAGGTGTTAAAGGTAAAGGTAAAGGACCATTAGGTCCAGTCGCGGACGACTCTGGGGTTGAAGTGCTCATCTCGCTTTATTGGCCGAGGGAGCCAGCGTACAGCTTCCAGGTCATGTGGGCAGCATGACTAAGCCACTTCTGGCGAACCAGAGCAGCGCACGGAAACGCCGTTTACCTTCCCGCCGGAGCGGTACCTATTTATCTACTTGTACTTTGTGCTTTCGAACTGCTAGGTGGGCAGGAGCTGGGACCGAGCAACAGGAGCTCACCCTGTCACGGGGATTCGAACCGCCGACCCTCTGATCAGCAAGCCCTAGGCTCTGTGGTTTAACCCACGGCGCCACTTGCATCCTGAGTTGTTAGGTACCATCTATAAATTAGTTTCAAAGTCAGTTCTCTTCTTTTGGTTGAGATGGACTTAAAGGGTGGTTTAGACCAGTGTTTCCCAACCTTTTTTGGGCAAAGGCACACTTGTTTCATGAAAAAAATCTCGAGGCACACCACCATGCCAGATGGGGAAAGGTCACTTTTTACTTATGTAAAAAAAAAATAAAAAAATAGTAACAGCATAGAAGGTAATGGTTAGGCTAGCATCCCTCTTCCAAATATGCTAGGTTTTTATTTGCAGGGACTGTTCTACATGGGAAAGCATTCAGCACTGTCATTCTCCCATCTGCCATCTGAATTGGTACTATTCTGGGTCAACTTACTCTGCTGCATGTGTAGATGAAAATGGCACCAAGTGTGGGGGAGGGGGCAGAACAGGTTTCAGATACAGGATATTAAGCATACACGTACTTCAGATTGAACTGGTTGCTTGCTTTGCAAGTTTTCATTTCCCAAATGACTGCCTTGGCAAGCGCAATACCTACCAGGCTCAACGCCGGTCTCGCGCTGCCGCTTCCCGCGCTCTCAAGGACCCGGGAGGAGGAAGGCGTGAAGGGAATCCCGAAGGCGCGAAAACCTTGCGCATGCGCAGGCCTTCCGCCTGCGACAGCCCAGTAGGCCGGCCGAAGCGAGCGGCGATGGGATGTGGGAGGGAGCTCGCTCGCCGCCCCGCGTGTGCCTATGTGGGGCACGTTACAGCCCCGTGACGTCAGCGCCACGCAGGCAGCCAGGCAGGCAGACGGCGAGAGCCCCGCGCTGGGCGGCCTCTCCTCGCCGCCGCCGCCCCGCCTCTCGCCGCCCGACTCGCCCGCCTCCCTCCAGGCAACATCTCGCGGCACACCAGGCAACGTCTCGCGGCACACTAGTGTGCCGCGGAACACCGGTTGGGAAACACTGGTTTAGACCATAGTTTAAACAGAGTTTTGAACACAATTTTGTAGGGTCTTTGTATATTGTGGATTCCATTCCCTTTCTGTGTCCCTCTGTTGTTAGAAGTTTATCGAAGGTGTTCAGAGTCCTTTGACTGCTGGGTTATTTAAGAAGGTGTGCAGTTGGTGTTGGGTCAGCCAGGGTATACAAACTAGGGGACACCTAGTTTCCCCTAGTTTGTCTTTTATTTTTTGTGTTAGTATGGATTTGTCATTTTTGTAGACGTCTGTTAGGCTGTGTAAACTTTTGACTTGCCATGTTTTTGTTTGGAAGCTGTGGACTGCATGGTGGAATAGTGGGTGGTGGCCAGGGGGATTAATGGGGTTGGGGGGCACTTTACCTGCTTTCTCTTTCCATACTTTAAGCATGGATTGTGTGAACCTGTTTAGTGTTGTGAGTATTTTCTTTAGTTTGTTTTCGAGGAACGGATACACTGGTACTTCCAGTTGCATCTGTCTCCATGCGCAACCATTGTTTTCTTTAAAAAAGCTGACAAAAATAGCTTTGTGTTAAACACTTTGGCTGGCGCATTCATAATGCTTCTTAATCATTCATAATGGTTAAGAATTCATGCATGCCCCACAGGTTCAGACACAACTTTCTCCTCTTGGATGTGAATTTTCCTCTCCCTTTCATTTTCAAAGCTAACCCATGTTACATCTGTACTGTATCAAACTGCAATTTGCAAATATGTTTCTAACCATGGTTGCAAACTGGCTTGGCATTAACCATTGTTAAAAGTGGTTTCGTGAGCTGTGGTTTGAGCTAAACGTGGCTTTGTTCCATTAATGACATTTAAAAGTAACTTGCTACTATTCATTCTTAGGGCCGTACCGCTATGCATAAGAAATTGGGCAGGCAGACTATGGTATTCAGTGAATAAGTGACATATTTGCATCTGATCTACAATTTTGGGCTGGCTTGGCAGCTATGTCAAAAAAATTAGTTGCCTACTCTCTGCCTATCATTCTCCTGCCACCTTCTTTCCAGCTGACATCCCTCTTCCACCCACTGGCCTTTCCCAAGGGAAAAGAGAAATGTACATGCGGTTGAGTATACTCGAGTGCTGCTGCTTTAATGTACTTGCAGCATCTTCAGGGAACAGCATGCAACCCTGGAGCTGGGAAGCAGTACAGATAATAATAATAATAATAATAATAATAATAATAATAATAATTATTTATACCCCGCCCTCCCCAGCCAAGGCCGGGTGACAATTCACAAACTGTGATAATCCAAGTGGAGTTGTGGGAGTCTGTAGATACCAAAAGCATTCTGTTTGGTAAGTTTCAAAATGCTCTCCTAGTTTTATGAGTACTTTAAAGAGAAACTTGAGTGTTTCTTAATTACAGTTTGGGATATTTTACAAAAAGACTGCCTAGTAGGCATTTTAAACGCCTGCTATGAGTTATTACTAGAGATACCTTCTGCATTATGAATGTTTTAATAAGCTCTTCCTGTTTTCCACATATTATGAAGTATCATATATCTCACAGCTAGGAATAATATCCAGCTAGGAGCAAATCCCATATGCTAAGAGCAAACTCATTCTCCAACTTACGTAGCCCCCAAAAGCAAAAGAGGAAGCTATTGACAGGCTCTGTGTTTAAAGGAGGGAGGCTAAGTCATCTCAGTGTACCATGCAATGCTGGTTGACTGCTGGAGTTGGGGAATGCAAACTAGTGCAGAGGGGAAGTGGAATGGACTGTTCTGGAATAGGCCATGATTGATTGGCTGGCTAGAACTCTGAACAAGAGCACTCCACAATGCAATATTTGTTGCAGGAGTTTATAAATGAATGCAAGCAGGATGACAGCCAAAGCAAGGACACTGTGAAACAGGAGGGGAGGCACCAGCATGTTCAGGAGAACCCCAAAGTTAGCAAAAAAATCTTAGGGACCATTTGGTCTCCACAAAACAGTTCAGTTAAGGCTGAGTATGCTTAGTGGTCACTCATTGAGTGTGTGAATGGAAAAGTGGGTGAAACAGAATAGAGCAGCCTGGATGAGGCTTTGGCTGGCTGGAATATTGTACAGAAACACTTTACAACATTTTGTTGCAGGGCCCACTTATATATATTTCAGTGGTGATTCAGTTTTGTGGTTGGAACAAAATTGTGACTGCTCTTCTTCCCCCAGTTGTGGTGACAGAATTACTTTTGTGATGGTTTGCTAAATGCCATATGAATATAAGAAATAGAATTAGGTGCATAGGAAGTCAGATCTAACTAGCTCACTTTTGTGTACAGTACACTGTCTGGTTGTGGCACTCCAGAGTTTCAGATGGGATATTCTCAGGGATTGAACCAGGGATTTTACTAGAACCCCGAGATGCACTTACTGGAAATGTAGTGAATGAAAGCAAAGGTAAATCAAACTCTATATGTATGTTCTGTTTCAGATTTTCCTTGTGCCTGCTGGCAATGTCCATGATCCTGTCTGCCTCGGTGGTCCGTGTGAGAGATGGACTCCCTCTATCTGCTTCTACTGATTATGAGCAAAACGTTGGTGTGCAGGAGTGCCAAAAATACTTCAAAACTATTGCAAAGAGACTTTCTCACCTTCCTGACAGATGCACACTTCATGCAGGACTGTATAACGTAAAGTAAGTTTTATTTGGGATTTTATCTTGTTTTTAATCTTGTTTCACATACAACTGTTGGCTGCTATAATAGGGAGTGAAACAACTATTTGCTTTTGGGGGGGGAACTAGGTTAGCTTTAAATGATGATGTATTTTCATAAATCTTAAATATGAAGGCATTTGTACAACTGCTTCATTCCTCATATATGTACGCACATAAATTGTAGTAATCCTCAGAGATCCTGTTTTGCATTCCACTGCCGTGAGCCAGGGCCTTTTTGGTGGCAGCATCTCAACTGTGGAACTCCCTCCCAAAGAAGGTTAGACTGGCCCCATCTCTGATATCTTTAAAACAAGAGGTTAAGACATTTTTCTTCTGCCAGTCTTCTAGTTATTTTAAATTTGTCTGTTCAGATCCCCATTTTTGTGGGGAGAGGAGAATCTGTTTTATGTAGCTCTTCAATGCTCCCCAGTTTTTAATTGTAAATAAATATTGTTTCAATATTGCTTAATAATAATAATAACAATAACAATAATTTGCATCCCGTCTATCTTACTGGGTTGTCCCAGCCCCTCTGGGTGGCTTCCAGCACATATAAAAACACAGGAAAAGAGCTGCCTGCAGATGTCTCCTAAAAGATATATAATTACTCATCTTCTTGACATCTGGTGGGAGGGCATTTCACAGGGTGGGAGCCAATACCGAGAAGGCCCTCTGCCTAGTTCCCTGTTGCTTCACTTCTTGCAGTGAGAGAACTGCCAGAAGGCCCTCGGTGCTGGATCTCAGTGTCCAGGCTGAACCATGTGGGTGGATATATAAGGCATATAACGGCAGACTAATCAGAAGGCAAATCAAGTGATTATCTTGATATAGTGGCCTGACAGAAACCCTAGTATATCATAGGCAGCCAAGCCTTGGACTACCCTTCTGGAAACAGAGATGCTTTTCCTTTGAAGTGTTTATGAAATGAATCTAATGGGGCAAAATATGCTGTGAACACATGGTGGGAGCAGTAGTGTGATGTCATAGCACATTATGCCATTTTGTTTCATTGGTTGTTTACCTTTAGTTTTTGAAGCATATCAGTTGGGACTTCACCTGCTGAGAGTGTTGGGTCACTCCTGCCTATAGTTTTTCTTTCATTTTCCTACAGACTTCAATATATTTTGTGTCTAAGACCATGAGTTTGTTGGCAGTGCTTTTTCTTTTTCTCCAATAGGTTATAGAAAAACCCAGCATGCCTTATGCACACCTAGATGGACTATGTTTATCTGGATTAAATTACAGCAGTGTACAGCAGCCATAAAATCATGTGTATCTTTAAGCTGAAAACATAAATTTCAAGCCTTTCTCATTGCCTTCATTTTTCTTGTACCAAAACCATCCTTTGGAATGGTTTATTTGAAATGACTTTGTGTGTGTGTGTTACAGTGTGTGTGTTTCATGATCTTAATCATTAAGTGGGCCCTAGACCAAATGGGGAATGAATTATTTGTAAGTAGATGCAAATGGAGTTGGGGAGAGAATCAATATTCACAGTTCAAAATCAGATAATTCGTATTATTATCTGATGTGTACATTTCTGGCACTGACCTTCCCTTAGTACTCTTGATAAATCTCTGGTGTTTAGTATATCAGTATATCAGTCTAATTATTTTTAAAGTGTCAGATGTACAGTATGTACCTAAAATTGTCCTAGAATTATTGTTTTGAATTGCACAAGGAATGATGAACTAATGCAGTGTTTTAACAGAATGTTTAATAAATAAAGAGTGTAAGCATATGCCAGAATTTCAATTAGATCTGGGGAGTTTTCCAGCTTCTGATGAGTTCCTTTAACGCCATCACTGAATACTGACGAAGAAGCATCATTGCTAGGGCAGGATTTCATTCTCTGGCTCATAAAGATAATTCTGAAGAGCTTTTTCGTTTTGGGTTTTGGAATGAAGATGTCCTTTTATGCACAACCAATAATTAAAACATTCAGAGGTTAAAGAGGGGAAGGCCACCTGCCCTCTTTGATCTGTTTCCTTCTTCCCACTTTAGAGAAGAAAAATCCTCATACTCTTCTGCTTTTTACTTGTGGTGGGACACACCCGGGACCTTTTCCTCTTGAAAACAGTGTTACAATTTCTCATGAATATTGATGCTTTCATTACACTCAGAGCCATTTTTCTTGTTCTTACAGCACAGAGAGCTCCTCTAGTCAAGCTGTAGATGCATGAATTTAATTCTGAAACATTAAACACATTTTAAAATGTTTTTGTTCTGTTTTGTAGTTTTATTAGTTCCTTGGGAGTGAGTTACATGATGCTCTGCACTGAAAATTACCCCAGTGTCCTGGCCTTCTGTTTCCTGGATGAGCTTCAAAAGGAGTTCATCACCACATACAACATGATGAAGACAAATACAGCTGTTAGACCATACTGTTTCATTGAGTTCGGTAAGGAGGATTCACCCCTTTCTTTAATGATGAACTTGTTTTAGATCTTATAGATATATAATTGTAACATACCTTTCCACCCCAAAGTGTTCAAGGTGGCTTACAAAAAGCTTTTTTATTATTATTACTCAGCTGACGCAATAAAATTAGCAGTTAAAATCTAAACATAACCATTGTTTGAGCCACAAACCTTTACTGTGATATATAGCCCATTCTTCCAGCACCTTACCAAAAAAAGAGAGCTTTCAGCTGTTTAATGACATTTTGAAGTGGTGGGTTTAGGTAGGTCTTCCTAGGAAGGGAGCCAGAGGTGATGCCACAATCAGGAAGGATTTTTTTTTTTTTTGGGTGGAATCACAGGGTGGAATTCATTATTGTGTTATGTATGAGATATGTTCTGTATGCAAGCATTTCAGCTTGCCAGATGCAGCGGTCCTCACTCTCTTCCCCCTGTGTGCTGTGCTGGGGATTCCCCCAATTTCTTAGATTCCAGATGACCTAAGAATATGTCGAAAATGAAGAAGCCTGTGGGCTTTCCCCTTTAAGCATGTATTTTGCTCTTACATATGTATAGTCGTATGCTTTTGTTGGGAAAGAAAGTTCATCATTATGGGTGCTGTTAATTCTCATATTATGTGTGTCGAAGTAAAACAGGCTTGTTTTCAGAACAAGCTCTTGTTTTATTTTGTAAGAATATATTCTGAATTGCATGAAAAGCTAAACAAAATGCAATTCATTAATTATATTAGCCCTACTTTCAGGCTTGTCAGTGCATGAGTCATTAGTTTATTTATAATTAGATTCCTAGCGCTTAATTTTTTGGTGCTGCAAAATTAATTAGCCCATGATATATTAGTTATAAAGTAGCAACAATATTAAAACCTTCCACAATGGATGTAAGAATTCCAAATAATGAATTTAAATGTGTCTCAGAGACTTATATTGCCCATAAAGCCATGGGGTCTCAGATGATTTTATTAACATATCTCTTAAGGGGGTTTTGTTTTAATTTTACACAGATAATTTCATTCAGAGAACCAAGCAGAGATATAACAACCCACGGTCTCTGTCGACAAAGATAAACCTTGCTGACATGCAGACGGAAATCAGGCTGAGACCACCTTATCAAATTTCCTTGTCTGAATTGGGTTCAGCCAATGGGTATCCACATGTACCTCTTCCAGAATACAAAGGTACTGGGAAAATATCTACAGGTGAGTTTGTTTCCTTAAACATAATTTTGCTCGAAAGGTTCAAAACTGGAGCAATTTGCTTATACCAGTCTTGTAAATCTTGGGACCAAACTAGATGTCATTCTTGTTGTTTAGCCTGTCTTAAAATAAAATAAATGGCCATTGCAATGGGCCTATTCCGGATCAGGACTGTGGCATGGAGAGACTACTTTAACCCTTTGCCCCTGCTGCTTTCCTGATTAGAATCTCTCCCACCCACAACACAGCACCTTCAGTTTGCAGTGGGAGGAAAGGTCCTATTGTTTCCCTCAAGGTCAAATGACATGTCTAATTTGATCCTTACATTTTGCTAATTCTGAGGTCTTGCTAATGGCTCCACCATATTATTCCACTCTTGTAACAATCAACAAGCTTGAATTTGTGACTATAAGTAAAAAGCCACTGCAAAATTTCACTTGTCTCTAGAATATGTGATTCTGGATTAGAACGATGGACATGAATGTAGGGAGGAAGCCAGTCTCTATTTAACTATGAAGCTCACTGAGGTTTGATGCAATTGTTATCTCACATAATCTGTTTACTCTGACATGTTTGTTTTAGAGTAAAATACATGTAGAATAGAAATCTGTATTTTTTAAAAAACATGTTTCTTCCAAACAACAGCTAAGCTGTGCACAGATTAGTGTGTTCCTTCCAGAGTTTGGAAACAGTGATGCTCACACAGTCTAGTTTTCTTCTTCTGGAGAAATTCCCTTTGTCGCTGCTGTGCTTTCTCTGACTTTATGAACTGCTTTGGAGAGCCTTTTTCTGCTGCAGCTGTTCAATGCAAACAACATGGAATGACACCCCTCTCAATATTAATGTTCCAGCTCATTAACTTCATTGTTGGCACCTTTACACTTCACTGATTTAAACAGAATGATTTAAATATGGTTCAGTAACCTCATTGTCACTCTCTCTGTGTTGCCTAGACTACTGTGGATTTTGCCCTGTTTTTTCATATTCATTTTCTGTCACTTGTTGCGGAATAGCACAGTAACTGCTTGTACACACATTCACTATGAATTGGCAGACATTTGTGTGTACCGTTGGCTCTCCAGTAGCACCGATGAATGTCTGCATAAATGCTTACTTTCAGCCACCTCCTCCGCATCTTTTAGCGTCAGTATAGTTTGTAAGAGAATTGTGCAGTGGGCCCCTCTGTGGATTTGCCAGTGAAGCTAGAAGTTATCATACTTAGCCTACCTCTCCTTCTGCTTCACAGTGCCCCATTTAGCAAATACACTAAGGCACTAAGCCTATGTACATTTACTTGGGAGGAAGTCCATTAGGATCAATTGGACTTCCTTGTGAGAAACAAAGGAGTGTCTGATTAAGGGGCTAAAAGTGCTGGAGAAGGATAAACTGACAATAGTTTTTGGAAGACTTTTAGGAGATGAATGGATCCCATTCATTGTCTCCTAGAATACCAATTATGGGTATATTACTTTTCATTTCTTTTGTAATATTCCACATTGCTGTCATTTAAAAATATGGAAAAGGATCAGGCTGTCAACTTCTGTGCACTTACTTACTTGCAAGTAAGTAAGTACCATTGAGCCCCTACCTCTGAGTAAGCATGTTTAGGGTCGGCTATAAATCATTCATTAAGAGCTGTAATTTATGCATTAGTAGAGCAGAAAAGCAAACTCTGAGAGCCCTATTTCAAGGGTGAGACTTAACTACTCAGTAGCTAATTGCAGACTAATTTCACCAGCTAGTTCTACATTGTGGAAATTTACAGCTGTGCTGTAATCCAAGTCTAATACTGAAGAACTTGAGTGCATTCGTTCAAAACTTATTTTTAACCAGGCCTTGGAGAGTTTCAGTTTTTGCTCATGCAAAATATATTTTTTCCAATGTGCTCTGAGAGTTATGCTTCTTCAGCTTGCTGTTATATATTCTCTAAGCAAGTACTCAGTTTAAAATAAATGAAAAAGGAGTCTCTTAAGCTTATGAGTATTTTCTCATTTAAGTTACAGAATCTTGAGCAGGAAGTCACTGAAAAATAGCATTAACATTTTTGGCTCAAATATTAAGGAACACATCTTTAAATATTGATAAGTGCTTTTTCCCCTCTGCCTTCCAGCCCCTCACCAGCGACTGGAACCTGTGACTCTGTCAGGGATTGTTTCCTTTCTACTCAGCCTTTTATGTGGGGCTTTGAATTTAATTCGTGGTTTTCATGCCATAGAGAGTCTTCTGCAGGTACTGTAGCAATGTTTATGACTTTGTAGCGGGGAAAAACAAAAGCCCAGTCTTGGAAGGCCTACCTATCAATTTCTTTTTTTTAAATGCTCTTGCAATAAGTGATAGAGTTAAATCACTCTCTGAATATTGTTTGGATAAGGAGAAACCCTTCTTTTCCCACAGAGGGCTGGCAACTATGGCCTGCAGGCTGGGTTTGTCCTTCTGAGCTAAGCTGTTTGACATCTCAGCTGGTGGAGCAATATATCTTTCTGTTACTGACATGTTTCAGACCTGTGTCGCTAGCTTTTTTTTGTAGGGAAGCTGAGCCAGTAGAAAAGTCCAGAATGTTTCACATGTAGACTTTAATAAGATTCTTTGAGTTGGTCTAGCTATTAAACTTTACAACAGAAGTAGGTTTTCCCTGGTGTGTTTCTGACCACCCCATCATTTCTGGGCCGTTTACATGGTGAGTTTGCCTGCCTGCCGTGGATGTCAATGACATTCATTGCTGGTGGTGGAGGAAGCTCTCAGTGTGATAGCACTGAATCATGTGACAGGTTGTTTAGGGACAAGCAGCTTTCTGTGGGGATGTTGATCCACATGGCCAGTGAATTGCTCTCTTGCATCAGGGAAATCCATGATGGAGTACCTTCTCTCAGTGAATCCCTTTAGAACACAGGATTGCTGCAAGTACTCTCTGTATTGAGAGGATCATAGAAAGATGATGAGAGAAGGATCTGGGAAGTTCTACTGTTCACTTACAGCAATTCAAACTAAAGCTCTGGATGCACTAGTTAAAAGTGTTCTTTCCTATGTTCTCCACTCTGGGGAAATGTTTTGGAGGACTGCACTACACATCGGGAGCTCCTAGAATCATAGAGTTGGAAGGGTCTCAGAGGATTCTAGGCCAACCCCCTGCAATGCAGGAATTTGCAGCTGGGCCTTATGGGAGTTATCAGCTCCATGTTCTAACCAGCTGAGCTAATTGGAGGTGTGAGTTCTAGTCCCATTTCAGATGAATTGCATCACTTTTTCTTTTCAATTCAAATGTAAATGTTTTCAGTGAAATTTAAAATACACTTTTGAAAAGTCATTTTGAACTGCACACACTATTCTGGATTTCTCTTCTGGCTCAGGATACTAAATTATAATATAATACGAAAGTAATATATGAATGTTATTACTACCCATGCAACGGTTATAACAAATGAGATGTCCTTGAGGTCTTGTTTCATTTTTCAATATTCCACTAAGCATGTAACATAAAGTTATATTGACTTGTACTCTATAATTGCCCACAGATTACAGTTAGAAATTACACCTTCCCGATTATCATTGAAGAACCTTCTGATTTGCATGCAATTCTAGTCTTTATTGTTCTTCCTTTTGAAAGTGGTCTTCAACAGCCATTGTTGTCTTTTCATTTTCTCATAAGGAACTCATATTTCAGTTAAGAAATAGTGTGCTGCTTGTGTGTAACAATTGCTTTTGTTATGTGCACACATGTTCTGGGAAGTCAGGATTTCTGTAATGTGAGAAACAAACCAAAATCCATTGGAACCCATATCTCCCAGATCCAAAGCTCCTGCTCATACAACTGTTAGATATTACAACTTAAGGAAAATATATCGTATAATATTTAGCTGCCATCTGTGTAAATACTGCTTTGTGGAATTTCTTCATTACTAGTTTACTTTTTACTTTGCAGGAGCTGAGCACCATCTAGTGGATGCATGTGATGGCACCAGATCAGTCTCTTTAAATGTTGATCTGTGGCTATTGCTGAAAATGGGCTGGACATTTTGTTTGTTTTAAGAGAAAAAGGGGCACATTTGTGAGAGATGCTAAGGCCCTACACCAGCTTTCCTCTTCATAGTCTGTCTCCTGAATTTTTATTTCCAAGTGTTTCTACTTAGTCTGGCTAGAGAAAAATCAAGATTGGCGGGGACAGGCTGCAGGGAGATAAAAAATGGATGGGGGAAGGAGTTTAGCACTTGTCACCCATGTACCCCATTTGCTCTTAAAATGAGATCTCTGCTGATCTGCATTTAAAGAGAGGAAGAGTTTTTCCCCAATGATAGCTGTTGTAGATTGAAAAAAAAGTGGTCCAGTGGGAATATTTCAGATACCAATTTCAGTAAATGCAGAATAACATTAATTTGATGGTGAACAGATGGCAATACTCACTTGAATTTTGCTAAATGAATGTAGACATACCTATTTAGCTATTATTACTTAAGCAATGCAGTTAAATGTGTTTTACTGCCTTGCATTTATCATGACCTAAGTGCTGGCTGCTTGGCTGACACTGGGACCAGTTGTGCAACTTCTGTTACTAAATAAGGACACCAATTGTTTCCCCAGAACGACAGAGAGGACCTCAGCTATGTTATTGCCTTTTTCCTCGGCACAGCAGCTTGTTTATATCAGGTAGGATCTTCCTCTTACAAGTCTGAATGATTTCTTAAAAGTTGTAATCCCTTTCTGACTTAGGGTATGTTGTATCATACCTTGTGAGTCCAAAATTAAATGAGTGTAAATAGATTTATTTCAAAGTTTCCTTCTGAGTTCGGTTGGTAGTGGGTGAACTGTACTGCAACTCTAGTTTACTCTTTCTGGACATTTCTGGACATGTTAGAATCAAGTTATAAACTCAAACAAAAAAGCACCTGGTCCCAGGTGGAGGCCCCTGGCTAAGACCCTGAGGCTCAGTGTACCTGGCCACCCACACCCTCTGCACAGGCCTGCTGAAAATTTCTGTATTTTCATTCATGATTTTATGGCCCTGCAGTAAACAGGTAAGCTTATTATGCTAACTTTCCTGAGAGAGCATATTGTATCTTCTTAGTGGAGATATTTGTTGCTTCAGGTAATATTTAATCAAAATAGCTGGTAACAGGCAGCTTACTTTCAGCTGCTGTGGTATTTTATTTATTTTAAATATTATTATTTTTAAAGGGTTATACAAGATTCATATGGCTCATAGAAGACTCTTGTGTAGACTTCAACTGCATCTCCAAGATGCAGGGGGCCGGGACAGATGTTCAGAAATTGGATCGTACCTCCACCTGTGGTAGGGGTCGTACTAGAGTGCACAAATTTTGGGCAACGGTAATTTGATAAGATATTAAAATGCCACAGCAAATGGTAGATTTTAAATTGAAAGCCATAGCTTTTGTCAAGGGAGCTCACACTGTGGAGGTAACATTTGCACTCCCCTGCTTACCTTTGTTGAGTGGAAAGGTATGAAAGGAGTCTCTTGGCACATTAGCTGGATGCCGCTTGCTATAGAAATATGAGAAAATGCAACAGGTTACTTACATCCTTGTGACTTTTTTCCCCTTTGCAGTGCTATCTGTTTGTGTATTGCACAGGCTGGCGGAACATCAAATCCTTCCTAAGTTTTGGCTTAATCTGCCTATGCAACATGTATCTCTATGAACTACGCAACCTCTGGCAGATCTTTTTTCATGTGACTGTGAGCGCTTTTTCAACGTTACAGATCCGACTGAGGCAGCCACAAGGGAAGGCCCCTGATTACAATGTGTGATGGTTGTCCTCCAGCAAGTCTCAAGGCAAACTTGATCCAAGCAGTATTCCTCTGAGGAATGAAACACTTTTCTGCAAGACAGACACTTCCCATAGTCTAGGGCATTAATGACAGAGAAATTCTTCTTCAAAGAAGAGCTGGAAATGGTTCAGGACCCTGTTGCGGGACAAATGAAAACCCTGTGCAGGAGAATGTACCTCAAGGGCAACGTGAGAAGTTTGGAGGGGCAGCATGAAAATTCCACATCCAGAAGTATGAAAATGGCAAGGAGCTTGTTCTGCATATCAAGTGATTTCTTCAGTCCCACACCAGGTTTGCCTTTGTGAGATAGTAGAAAAGGCTGAAATAAAAGGATGGTGTTGCATATTAACAAACTGTTCAATATGAATGAATTTCTAAATGCGAGATTATTGGATGCACGTAAGTTTAATGGTGTGTGTCTGCATTTTCCTTAATTAAAATCTAACCCAGAACCATCTGTTCATGGGGATTAGTTCCTGGGCCCCAAAGGCCTACCATCTAGTGCAGTGCTCATTCTGAATTGCTTTGTTTCTACCCCTCCCCAACTTCTTCTGTGTAATTTGCTTTGAAAGAAATTTGGAAAGTGACCTCTCTCTTCTGCAGCCCCAATAGCAATCTCTAATGCTTTTCTCTAATGCTTGAAGGATGAAAAGAAGTTGACTAGCCTCATCTAGGAAAGAGCCTAACTTCTACTAATTTCAATTTAATTGTCTAAGAAAAACTGTTCTGGGAACAAAGGAAATTAAAAGTACTGGTTGAGGACAACAGATCTATTGTAGAAGAGGTGAGCAATCTGACAGAATCCTACAGTGGACCAAAATAGCCTGCCATCAGCAGACCAATGAGGGTGGGTGATGGTTATTCATTTCCACCCTCCTCTAACCCTCTGGAGCAGATTTTGGGTTAGCTGCAGGGAGAGAGATGGGGGGGGACCCATGTTTCCTTCCCTATTCCATTGGTGGCCACCTTTGCTGACTCAATGAGCCTCTCTCATTTTGAGGATTATCACTGGATACAACCCTACTAATCTCACCTTAATGAGAAAAGTAAACCTGCTGGATTGCATTGCATCCTGTACGTTAAGTAGCAGCCATGAGAACAAAATGCCTTCACAATGAAGGTAGTTGCAGAAGTTTCCTCATGTACAGATAAAAGTTGTTCAGGGTTTGTGAGGATTTTAGCAGCTGGGGTTCAAGAGATCTGTACTGTCAGCATCCACTGCCATTCTAAACGCACGTCAGTCATGAGATGAGGAAGCTTTTCTCCCAGAGACAAACTTAAGATTCAAGAGAAGCCTTGTCTATGTTTATGCTTGCATTTAATAAACTCTACAATCTACTCCCACTGATCTAGGCACAAGCTTTCAGTGTGAAAACTTTCTGTAGAGATTCTAGCAAGAAAGTGACGATGCCAGACTGAAGTTCTATTGTCCTACCTACCACATCTCTAACGTTTTATGATCCTCCTAGTCTTTAATTGTAAGATGTCACCTACACAAAAGTGGTAGTTTTTTTCAGTAAGCAATATGATTGTCTAGTCTTAGTTTTACTATGAATCCTAAGCTGCTTTACGCATTACAATAACTTCTAAAGCATTATTTTGTAGGACAATACTGAGTGGGCAGAGACTACCCAATCAGTTCACTCCCACATGACTTGGAACACCCCTGCCCTCGAATTAGATGCTGTACCCCAGAAGTGGCTGACTGTTTTTGTCCCAGCAGCAATTTTCATTCTTGACTAACCTCTGGACAGTGGCCACCCAAAACCATTGCATGCACACATAGAACTCCCTCATCTACATAGATCAGCAGAGGAAGGGTTAATCACCCTCTCCCTGCTCATCAAATGATTGCTAGGGAGATTTGCACCCACATCAGAGTGGTGAGCTCTACCCACTGTAGTGCTAGGTGTATTTTTTTCTTTCTGCCACTGCTGCCAAAATGGATGAAGCTTATGGGGGGAGGGCGGGTAGAGGCAGATCAGGCCCTAGATCTGGGGGTCAGACATTATTTTGAAACCACATGCAAGTAATGTGTGAAGTAGCCCAAGTATGTTTGTTGTAGACCCAAATGTTAATAACGATACACACAAATTCTTCATTTATCATGATAGTCATACAAAGAGTCCTAAACTGGGTCTTCCAGTTGCCCTAGTCTAGTTGCTGTTCTTGTATGTTATGTTTTCTTTACCTTCATGATAATTTAAAATATAAGTAAAGGAACTCCTCCTGCCAAACGAGGGAAAGACTCACTCTGGTTGCCATGGGACGCTGCGTATGATGACTTTGGGCATCAGTTTCCTAGCTGCAAAATGGGAATACTGATCATTTCAATGAAAATGTAAAGTGCTTTGTAGAATAAAAGTGCTGTATAAATAAATGCAGAAGCAGCTATAAAACGGTCAAGACTTCTGAAGTGAGGTCACTGCAACTTACACGGGGGTCTTTGTGGATTTTTTTTTTTTTTATGAAGGTGTTTATCACAGCCAACACTTCAAGACTGGGACATTAATGATATATACTGTGGGGTAGTGGGTATACAGCTAGCACTATAGGCAATTGGAGCCTGCCCTAAATACTTTCATGTCTCTAAAGAGTCATAGCTAAGGGCTGAGCATGAAGATGTTCAGGGCATGCAACTCTGCTGAGGCTCTGACTTCTCCAAAAAGTAGTAAGCCTTCATCTTGGATTTCATACATGTCACTAGAAGCACTGACATAAAATATGCTTACAGATGCATTTTGCAGGCACACAATCCAAGGGCTAGCAGAATTTGTTTAAGGATTAAAAAAAGAATCCCATCACAGAACACAGTGTTATCTATCATAAGTCCCATTAAGTGACTGTGCTGGATTGTAGCCCAATTTGGGAGGTGGGGCGCGGAACTAGGAAAGAGGCTGAGTGTTATGCAATGCCAAATGATTTAATTATCCTAACTGAAAAGATCTATATCTAGCAATCCCCCTAATGTTGTGTTATGTAACGGCTCCCATGCTTTCTAAGTGCAAATCGCACTCATGACCATACTCTTTAGCTAGCATGGAACATCTAAAATGTTCCTCATCTGTGCTGGAGACCACCACTGTGCTTGCAAAATTAACAACTAAGGGCAATTTGCCTGTCTGCTTTCCCCACTCACCTTAACAGGGACTAGCACAAGGAAAAGCAGCATGCAGGGACCCCACTGATGACTTAAATATGAGTTCAGGATGAGTTTCTCCCTTATTGTTGAGCCAGCAACCTTCCCTCCCAATATCTAGAGACTACCTTCAGAGATAATGGGCACCTGTGTTATTATCTTAAAACAGAAGAAAATATGTTACAGTGATCGGAAAATATAACCAGTTGATTTCAGAATATTTTATCCTAACAATATACAGCCAAGCACCATAATTTCAAACAGAAGAGACTTACCATTCCAGTGAAGGAGATCCATATGTGGGTGAGGGCTCCTTTACATGCACAGGTAACATAGATTGAATCGGGCACTTCTACGTAAATCCAATTCTGCTCCATGTTGCTCATCTGTACTGAATTACCCAGACCTGTATTTAAATGCAGATGGCTATGCTCTTGTGCGCGCGCGCACACACACACAAACACACACAGCTACTAGCTCAATAAGTTGAGTAGGACTAGACCACAGCCTACTGCTTCCAGCTGCCAAAGTTCTCCCTAAAATACAGTTTTGTTGAATCTGACATACAAATGAAATATCCAAATCAGCTCCTTCATTTAGAACAGTGTTTCCCAACCGGTGTTCCGCGGCACACTACTGTGCCGTCAGACATTGGCTGGTGTGCCGTGGGAGGGAGGCGGGCGAGTCGGGCGGTGAGAGGCGGCGGCGGCGAGGATCCGCGTCGAGCCGGGGGCGGCTCCGCGGTGGTGGTGCCGAGCGGCGGGGCAGCGCGTGCAAAAGGGAGGAGCGCGAGACAGCGGAGGAGGAGGAGGCCGGCATGTCCGGGCAGCAGCAGCAACAACAGCAGCAGCAACTCCCGGCGACGGCTCCTCAAGCCCCGCCGCCGCCCCCTCCTCCGCCCGCTATCGCCGCCACCACCACAACAGCCGCCGCCGCCTCAGTTGCCGCCGTCCCTCAGTCCCTCGCTCTGCTGCCTCCTCCCACCCCCAAAGCTTGGAGGTTCCCCGGCAAGGGGGAGGGAAAAAACTTTCACTTTCGTGCGTCCCTCCCGGCGTGACGCTGCGCGCTGACGTCACGGGGCGGGGCTTTAATGGTGGTGTGCCGTGAGATTTTTTTTCAGTAAACAGGTGTGCCGTTGCCCAAAAAAGTTTGGGAAACACTGATTTAGAACCCAGGGGCTGAGATTGATAACCACCTTCGCTGTATTCATCTGAATATTTTACCATTTTTCATCCAGTCGCAGAGAAATGAAGAGAAACCATTGTACAAAGTCCATTCTCTTCCTTCTGTGATGCAGCAGGCACAAAATATCATCCAGAAATTCATACGTGAGCAGGACTATTTGTTGGGACAAGTTACACAAGTCTGGAGCTGCCCTTACTGAACTGATGAATCATACCGTTGTGATGCACAAAATTCTATTGTCACTCCCGCCACAAAACATTAAATGACATTCCTACTTTTGTAGCTTTTAAAAAACAAACCAGACTCTAATGAATAAATAGAAACATTCACAAGTGAAACAGTGTTTTAATATAATTGTTAAATTACTTAAACAGATTGCAATTTCCATGGGAAATCATAACTGTATCACCTTTTGCAAGAGCCAGAAAAAAGACTGCATACCCCTTGAAATGATCCTGACACAGTCATCAATCACAGTCAGAGATACAGGTAACTGAAAACTGAATTGACAACACAATTGCGCAAGGTGGTCTGCTCAAATGTTAAGAATGCACATTTCAAAGCAGGAGGCAAACTAAAACAAAATGATCCTATATTGTGCTATTAATTAAAATTTGGAAGTGGTAAATGACGGTAAGAATGAAGGGTGGAAGGTGATGAAGAACAAGCTGCAGTACTGTGTAAATAAAGACCTGTGCAAATCAAATGGCATTTCTTGAAAAGGTTCAAAAATATAGTACGAGGACAGACTTGGCAGTTTTCTAGGAATCCGGCAACTATACTATCCAAGGATGTGCCCTAGTAGAAAGGGAGGAAAGGAAAGTGGGATGCTACTGACACTCTAGTCTGAAACAGTTTAATAGCAATATTACACATATCACTGAGACCATGGATTTTACCTTATTTTTTGGTCAAAGGTGACACTAACCCCCGCCCCCTCTCCAATGTCATAATTGCCAGTGCTGGGTAATCATTAGGTAATAGAAATTCTGCCCTGAGAAGAGTGGAAAAAGTATGTGTCAAAATATTTGAGTCATTTTTGAAATTGCCAAATTCAATATCAAAAGTTTTCCCCCACTGAAATATAAAAATATAGGTTTTTATGCTTTTATACTTTTTAATAAAATATGAAGGGGACCTTGATTTTAAAAGTTGAAAATGTATTTAACTCACTTATACATTTATTAACAGTCCCCCTCTTTTTTAAAAAATAAGTATTGTTCAGCAGGATAGGCCACATCAATATCTTTAGAGAATCAATCAATACATATGTTTTATTATGGGAAAAAAACTTGCCAAAGTCTTCAAACTGAAATTCATAATATATGAAATGGAATTCAGCTCCCACAATATCAATCCAGAAGAGTAAAATTTCTAGGTAATATTCAGCGGCACTTACTTGTACAGACAGTTGTTACATAAACTGTAAACATTCTTTCAAAAAGAAATTCTTGATTTGATTGTGGTTCCTCTTATGCTACTGTCCAGAGGCACACTCGAAGTGGCTTCAGGCCTAATACCCTTGGTCAAATAACTTTCAGAATTTTGAATACACAATTTACCTGTTGCATTTAGCTCCCTCTGACGTTAGGAATGAGCACAGCTGTTCTCATTCTTCCTATTTCATCTCTGTCTAACTGTAGGTTTTCCTCACTTAATTTCCTCTTTAAAAAATCAAACTTGAGCTTTATTATTATTACTTCAGCTTGTTTGCTGGACTGTACAATATTTATTTGAAAACTGCCAAGTCTGCAACTCAGAGATAATGAAAAGAATACCACACAATTCTATAGCTTATGTACACCTCCCAATGTACCTGGCGTCCGATCCAAAGAACTGTGAGCTCAGCAGAAGACTTCACACCCATTGCTGGACTCATGGAGACAAACAGAGCTGCAGGGCAGAAACATCCCATAGCCCTGATCAACCTTCCGACAGGGAAACAGAAGTGCTTGAACTCAGCCTGGGTGCCCGTTCCCTTCTTCCCAACAGTGACTATCAGCTTCTGTGTCAAGGGCTGACTGCCTGATAAGGGATTCAGGATTGTGTCAAGGTGCCCCTGCTCTTGTCCTGCCTAACAGTTGACAGATGCTTTGCTGGGTGCTCAGTTCTGGATATGCGTCTCCTTCAAACAGCTGTTCTGTGAACTTCACTACAACAGAGCTACACATAGATCGCTGTTGCTCCATTGGGGCAACTGTTTAATACACAGAACGTTCAAAATATAGAATTTTGGTGTATTTCTTAGATCTCATAATCTTCCATATTAAAAAATACAAAAAACTGCACCTCAAAACCAACAACCCTACACATTTCAGAGAAATCTCCCTGTGTTTCTCCATGTGTTTCACATTGGCAGCTAGTCTTTCATGTGTAAACCAAAATATGCTGAACAGAAGTGAGAAGGCCTCCTAATTTAATAAATATGCTTGAAGCATCATTTCCCCCTCACCTTAAGAACTATTTTTCTCCTTTCACTTTCAGTATATCAGTTCTGGTAAAAAGAAGGAACCTCCTATCTGTGTAAGGGTAGGGATGGCAAGAGTACATAACAAGGCATCTTTTCCATTAAAAAACCATTACTGGTGATGTCATTAAAAAAGGCCCTTTTTGTAGAGCAATCGTTGGTGGTGTTTTTAATTTCAAAAGTCCACTCAAACAGCTAATAAGAGAACAGTGGCACACGTCAAGGAGTTAACAGCATAGACCAGAAATACTATGGGACTGCACAGCTTTTCCAGAGTAATGCTGTTCCTTTTTGTCCTTTTGTTGCAATGAATCAAACTTTCCTTCAACCAAGTAAAAAACATTGTGTTGCTTCAAATAAATACTTAAATATCTTAAGTCCTGTGTAGCAGCCTCACTGAAGATCTCAAATCCACGTCTTCATTTCGAATTCCATTCAGCAAAAAATCTTTGGTCAATTCATTTACACTCAACCTAGAAAAAATCCACAGCAGTGCTAGGTAACTTCCGAATGGTGTGCCACATAGCCCAAACTGTGTCCCCCCTCCCCCAATTCTTGCACACACTCCTGCTAGGAAGGCATCATATGAAATACTCAACTGTGCCTTGGTATTCGATTCACTGCTAAGCAGCATCAGATTTTTTTTTTGCCAACTCGTTGTATTTAAATCAAACTGAGCCATTCTTGAGTCATTCTTGCCCACTGCTGTTAACTTGCCAGTGGGGGGCCTTCGTTTAGAAAGTAGGTGGTCATTTCTCCTTTACCTTTGACCTTAACAACCCCTCGGCATTCTAGTTGATAGTTGTTAACTGTTAAAACTTGGTACATGTCTGTGGTCACCTGTGGAGTTTTAAAAAGAATGGATCAGAAAAGAGTTGAATAAATTGCAATTGACAAAATTCAACACAAGTCTGGTATTCTCAAGCAGTGCTGATGGAAGAAGAGCTGTCATTTCACTAAAAATTACTATGATTGCACCCATAAGAAAAAGGGCTGATGACATTAAAAGTGAATTTCAGATCATTTCAGAGAAAGACTCATTGTGTTCACACGTCCCCTTGGGCTCCTAAAAGGACAATGGCAAGTCAGAGACATGTGAGTAAGGAGAAGGAATAGGTGAATCTATCAATTTTGGTTTCTCTCAGTATCTTGTTTTTCAGCTTTGACAATGCCAATCACCTGTTGTAGAGGACAAGAGACTGGATCAAGTTTCCCATTCTCTTCCCACCATGTAAGCATGATCCATGTTAGCTTGAAATTGGGCCATCTCTCAGTGTGGACTATAACTGCGTGAACAACGTAATAGGTGGCTAAGTGTTCAAAGCACAGTATCACATAGGTATGTGTCAGAGCTGGCTCCAGGTCCCAGCTCACAGAGGACCAACGCTAGCCGGCAGTAATGTACAAAAGTCTTTATTGAAGTACAGTTTCCATTTTCAAGCCGCAGCGCCCCAGCTCTACGTCTTAGAGGCTAGACCGGCGAAGCTCCATCTGAGTCTCCACCCCCTGTACACCAACTTAAGGCTCTAATCTTACTCCACCTTTTCCGTCTCTCCTTTCTCCTCTGGGTCCTTCTGCCCCCCGGGGTCTCCTCCTTTCTGGACTCTTCTGACGCTGACGCTGACCCCCCTGACTCCTCCCCCTCTTTTCGGCGGGCTTTGGAACCTGGCTCCCTATCCAGGCTGCCAACTGCGCCACCCTCCTGTACATTTGAACTTGGCGCGCGCGCCCAGCTTTCGACCTTCCTCTTGACCGTTTCCTCGCTCCCCGATGGAGGCGTGGCCAATCCTGACTCATGTCCTCCCGCTGGCGGTGAGCCGCCTGCTCCCGATACCTGGGACTCCTCCCCCCTACTGCGCTCTGGTGGGGAAGCTGGTCCTGATTTCCAACTGCTGCTCTCTGAGTCCCCTCTGGCCCCCTTTTCCTGGGGTGTCCCCCTCGGCACCCCCCTTGCTCTGACCATGGGAGCCCCTTTCTGTGAATCCTCCGATTCGCTGGAAAGACTCAGAGACCTCGGACCTCTGTCATCGCTAACATTTCCTTCGGATTCCTCCCCCTCGCTCTCTATTTCTTCCCTTTCCTGTGCCTCTGCTCCTGAGCCCCTGACAGTATGTATCTCTGGATCAGAGCAAGGTGAATTATTCCATCTTCTGGTTATTGCTCAGCAAGAACAACATGAAAATACTTGGGGGGGGGGTTTACAAAAGAAGAAACAGATGCAGAGGTTCTCAAGGAGCTCTGTTCTGGACTCCATATTACATGATAACATAGATTCCTTCATATTTCACCCCCTACCCCAACACAGAGATGAATCACTAAGCTGGATAAAGCATGAAATATGTAAAGTAAGAAAGGAGGACAAGTTACATGGATCTGAAGTGACTTCATGTGTCAGCTGCCACATTTTTTATGCTTGGTTAAAAGTTTTTGCTTGGGGTGGTAAATATGTAACTCCAAGTAGAATACATAAAATGCACATATAGATTACTTCTCACTTCTACTAGTGGCTTGTGTAAATATTCATAAGAGAAAAAAAGTTTTAGGGAGGAGGAGAGGTGCCAAGAAGACTCACCTGAATCCTGTCGGGCACTCCTGTGCTGTCCATTCGGCTGGCTACATTCACAGTATTCCCCCAAATATCATACTGGGGCTTACGTGCGCCTATGACCCCAGCTACTACTGGGCCAATATTGAGCCCTAGCAAAGAAATAGTATGGAATTAGACATGAGTGTATAAAGTACATCTTATAAGTTATCACTACCAGATCACATATGCAGAAGGACTGCAACTATCTGATTCCTCCCCAGGCATAAACTGACCACAGCTAATTTTTGAATGGCCAACCTTTTGAGGGCTATATGACAAAACGTGCCATGATTCTATGATCAGGTATTATTATAAATGAACAAAGGTTTAAAGCAGACTCCACATGGTGGCTGTAATGTGTGTAGCACTCCTAAGACTTTGAAACATTACCAGCTGAGAGTGAGGTGAATTCATCCAGTGCGACCTTCCCTGGTCTTTGAAATCTGTGATATCAAAGATTTGTGATCTTTGAAATTTGTGATATCTGCATATAACTGATTATTTCTCTGCCTGCTGTAGCAATTGCAATGCACCACACTAGATGCTGAATGATTTTTATTACACACACACACACACACACACACACATATATATACATAAATTTTTATTGTATTACAATTTGAATTCCATAGAATTCATACGGCAAGTGTTCTTCACAGGCACACCTCGGACCACCTGAATGAAGCTTGGGGACCACAGTTTGGGAACCCCTGTCCTACACTATCTAACTGCTTCTCAGAAAACTCACTGGAGCTTATTTTTTACTTGATTAAAGTATACTGTATCTTGATATCCAGAATTATGAAGATGAATAACAGTGCGCCAAGAACACTCATGCTCTACACTCAAAATAAATGATCTATAAAAAATGTTATAAAATCTGCTTGTTTGGCAGACGTTCTCAATTTACACATTACATTCTAAGCTTAGTTGGTCTGTGGAGAGTGGAGCATACCTGGAATAAGAAGCCTCACTCCAGACATCCTTGTGAATCAACCGACTGAACCTGAGGCATTCCCAGTGAAACAGATAAAAATGTAGCATATAAGAAGAGACTTGCTGGATCAGGCCCAAAGGCCCATGTAGTCCAGCATACTGTTCTCACAGTGGCCAGCTTCAAAAAAGGGGCCTGAATGCAAGATGGCTGGCCTTGTCGGTTTTGACTGAGTGGAAGGAAGTACGGGTGCTCAACTCAGTTCCTCCCAAACAATGGTGATGGCTCTAGGAATCCCGTAAGAATGAAGGAACCCGGTGTCAAGCACCTGTAGGCATGCGGATTGGCCTTACAGGATCAGGTTGAAAGAGCTCTTGCTCCGCCTCCACTTCAAGTGTGTGTGCATATTTCAGATTCAAATATGAAAGACAGTTTTCCAGTGTTCTACACGACAAAACAGTTCTAACAGCCATGTCCTTTCTAAAGCACTAATGTGGGCAGGAAGCTAATTTTGTTTGGCTTTAGATCTTCCCATGTTCAATTGGCTACTAATGTCCAGTTGGGAATGTTATGTAATGGGGTCAAATTTCTGCAGGAAACACGACCAACACTACAGATCAAGAATACTCCATTAAGTGCTAATTTAATTCAGTAGAGGCAGCACCAATTAACACATGGCATTTGCACTTTTAACCACAGAGGAAATACTCCAGAAGCATAACACCATAACAAAGGCATCTACCTATTTTCATCTGGAAGTTGTTGAACGAATGCTCATTGATGTATTTCATTTGATCCATTAACCTCATTGCAAAGTCAGCCAGGGCCTTGATGTGTGACTTGCCCACTTTGTCATAGGTGGAATCATTGAGGCCTGAAGCAGCCATATATGTGCTGCCTATAGTTTTGATCTTTTCCAGCTGTCGGAACTGGTCTTCGCTTATTATCTGCAGAGGCAACAAAGGAACAAAGTTATTGAAAAGGACATGTGTAAATCAATATAAGGTACACTGTTTGACTGATCTGTATAAGACCCAGATATGATCATGCACACTGTAGCTTGCATAACACATGTTCTAATGTGCTTCCCATATGAAGAGAAAGTTCATGAACTGTTTTGATCCTGCACATAGACAGGATGGTGTCCTAGACCCTATTTTTGCTTCTTCAAATTGATAAGGACAGAAAAGTAAGATTTTGCACTAGGATGTCAGGTCACGGGATGCAATGCCCCTTCAGTTTGGATCTACATCACGTCCTGGCACGAGTGTATCAGTACTTGCTGTCAGGTCACTGAGTTAGGACCATTTGCACTTTTAACCATAGCTTTCTGAGTAATAAAAGCAACAGTGGCCAGTGCCACTGTAACTGGTAATCATAGAGGAGGTAGAACTTTCCTAGGAGCCTCTGCACAAGCATGAGACCATTTCAGCTGACCTGGACAAATTATTGTTTCCACTGCTGCACTTATACAGATCCATGGGAGCAGAGCATGAGGTGATTAAAACGGCTGTTGACCAGGAAATGAAGTCAACAGGCCAGGATACCAAGAACTAGGAAACTAGATCTATAAGCTGAGGAAGGCTTGCAAGCCAGGTAGCTTTCTGGGTCCTACCCATAGCCATGGATGAAGAGTTTATTTAGGAGTGCATTGCATTGTCTGGGCTCAGCAGCACCTTTCAGTATATAGTACTTCATATAGTACTTCTAGGAAAGAAAAGTATAGTACTGTATTTCTATTGATACCTCTGGCATATGAAAGAAATCTAGCACAGAAAACAAAAGTGTCAGAGACGACTGGTGTTGTGTGTATCGGGGCAATGCAAAAGGGTCAGTCATAGATTCACAGCATTGTAGAGTTGGAAGGGACTCCAAAGGCCATCTGCTCCAACCCCCTGCAATGCAGGAATCAGTTAAACATGAACTAGACCACACTGAGGTTTAACTCTTAAAAAAGAAAAAGAAAACTTGCTCACCTCATCAAAGTCAGCAATGATTTCATTGAGAAGCCTCAAGCATTCCACTCCTTCATTGTTGGCCTCTAACTCTACATAGAATTCTGAGAAGTTGCTGATGGAAGCAAACATGACAGCCACACACTCGCATGACTGGTAATACAGCTCATCATTCCTCCGTTCCTGTGCAAGGAAGTGGGCTGCCACATCCTTTGGCAAGATGTTATGGAGAAGGCGTCTGTTGTAGGCCTGCAATTCCTCCATTTCCTCCTTTTCTTCAGTAGCCTGAAAAGGGAGAGAGGGTGAGAGAGAAAAAGATGCAGCCTGCAACTCAGGTTCATTTATGTGGCAAATGGAAGCATATACAGGGGACACACAACTTATGCGTGTTTAGCTTGAGTGGTTGCAGCTCTATGGACTTGACTGGAAAAAGGGGCGAGGGGAGGGGAGATACCATAAGGGGGAGGGAGAGCAGGGGGGAAATGTCAGCAATCGCACCCGCCATTGCATTAACCATGGTGCAAGGTGTAGTGGCCTTGAGAGTGTGTGTGCAGCTTTTGGAGACAGAGCAGAGGTGGCTGGATAGACTAATGGTTTTTAAAGGGTTGTTTTGACTATGCGATTTTGGCTTTGTGTGCTATCCCTGGAAAATAACTCTTGCATAAGTTGCGCATCTATTGTATAAGGCCGTGGTTCCCAACATGGAGCACATGCCCCACAGGGGGGCAATTTGATTTTTAAGAGGGGGGGCAATTCGAGAATGAGTTATTAACAGTTAATGGCCTTTTAGGCTTCCTCCTCATTAATAGGAGTTCACTTTTTGAACAATAATAATTATATGTCATGGGGGAGGGCATCAGGATTTTAGAGTTGCTTAGGTGAAGCATGGCCAAAAAAAGGTTGGGAACTACTGGTAAAGGTCTAAGATGCAACCCATCAATACATGCTAGCAACAGAATATGATTTTGCACACACTAAGGGTGGCTCCGTCCAAACTATATGCATGGGATGGATACACACATGCACGGACAGTATTCTTTACAATACAATATAAAGCAAAACTAAGAGCACAATCTTTGTGATCCTCAGCTAAAATTGATACCGTAGGAGTTTCCTTTGTGCGAGCGCTTCTACCTCGATAATTTATGAGCACGGTAAGATAATGCATTAAGAGCATGAATAGCAACTGTTTGCTGATTATAAATGGCATTTTAAAATTACACTCAAAAACACACACCTGAAGCTTCCAGAGGAAATCAAGTCTTGCTGTGGATTCCACTTGCTGCGCATGAAGATACACCGCCAAGACAAAAACAGTGATAACTACGGGAGTCACAATCTTCAAGGCCACCCTGGACACACTTGGAGGACTGCGGCGGAAAATAAAATATATAAATCTCTGGATGTTCTAGGATGCCGGTTGCTAAACTGGAGGAGTACGTATAATTCAAAGCAAGCAATTTCTTGACTTCTTTGTGTAGCAACAGGCTGAGCAAGGGGTGGGCTCTAGCTGCTGACCAATAAAATCCACTGACTATTTTATTCTGTTCAACTCTGAATCATTTAGTTTTTGCTTTTGATGCAGCGTGAACAGCGAAGTCCAGGTGGCTATCTGTTACTTTGCACGAGGCTGCCCCATCAATCTTCATTTTTTGTGTGCTTCAATGGCTCTAGAAGTGAGGCACACTGTATCAAAACTGCCTCTTAGGCAAGGAAGGGAGACAAAGGGCCACAGCAGAGTCAATGCATTCCATTACTAAATCATAGGGGATTTGTGATTCTATTCTTTTCTCCCACTCTCCCTGCCTTTATGAGGTCAAATTCTTCCTACCCTTGAATACAACGAAGGCTAGGTAGCAGTGCTACTAACTGTGGTTGACGTTAATTTGCATTTCAAGTTTGTTTCAAATTCAAACTCTGGCAAGCATTCAAAATGGTTAACAGTGCTTCAGACAGCAAGGGAGGGGACTTGTGTTTGAGAAGAGAGGGGTGTGCCCATCCCATATCCCTTAAGCACCATTAAAGGATGAGCCACATTACGTCTGCAACAACCCAAACCCACCAATGGCTGAAGCCATTTTTTAAAGCAACCTCGGCTACCTGCCCCCTCAGTAACTCACCATGCTCCATTCTCAGTCCCATTGGAAAATACTCTGAAATAGCAAGAGATAGGTTTTAGACAATGTATATAGACTGCTCTGCTATATTTATAAATCACTGACTCCATTGCTTTCTTCCCAATTCCACATTTAGTGCCCTCCTATACCGCTAGGAGTATAAGCAATGAGCCAGGAACACCCTGGTTCAGAGTTCAGATTGCCTTATCAAGCAACCACATTCTAAAGAATACTGAGATAATATATGTGAAGAAGTCTGAACACTAAAGAGATATGATATAAAATTTTTCCTCCTCCTCATTACTATTATGATTATGCTGTTTCCCTTATTTGTTGCACAAGCTGCCTTTTTAATTTTTCAGTATTCTTCCCAGCTGGCAAGGAACTGCTGACTTTGGATTAAAATCAAGGTGTACATTTCACTGCTCCAATGCTATCCAAACAAAAGTGCCTCTCTAATACTTCAGCAGTTCAAAGGTCCATGTCTCTTCTGGATCACTTGCCTGATGTTAATCAAATGAACATGTGTGCAAAGTACTCCATTTAAATTACAGGGAAGTTGTTTTATATGTCTCTGTGTTCATTGTTCTGAAATGCATGATGGATTGCAGCAACAGGAGGGATCCCTAATGCCCATTGTGACACTAGAACCAAAGCCTCAAAGCATTCACTTTATTGCAGGTCCTGCTGCAATTTCAATGGAACATGTTTCCAAAGATGGTTAGGATCACCGTTCTTTTTAAAAAAGTTCTTACACCTACACAGAGTTCCACAGAATCCAGGATGCCACATATTTTAAAATAAAGACATTTAGGATTGAGTGTAATAATCAACTGCTCCACAAAATCAGTGCTACTATTTTTCACTTTGAACACTATGTGGAGCCATAACCACTTCCTAAAATTTTCTTCTACTTGCCTTTCGCTACAGTGAAAGAGGATCGCTTTTTGACTTTGAGCTTGATTATCGTTGAAGTGAGGAGTCAAGGAAAGTTGGCACATTTAAACAAAGCTGCCTGGACAAGTTAGGGAATTAATTCCTAAGAATTAATTCCCTAACTTGAATTATGGGATCCAAGTGCAGGGAATTCTGCACTTAGGGAATTCTGCATTGGGGCTGCAGAAAAGAGGAGATAAAAGGTGACAAGTTGGAATCTGCCCACATAAAGCTGGATTCTACCCTTTGTTTGCAAATTTACTGTCTCATTCTAGATGGTACTGGAGAAGCAGGGAGTGCCTTGAAATCTAGTTCCTTCATATTTATTCACTTCTTGTATTATTCTTGTATTTCGTCAGAAATTTTTATCCAAGTCGTATCACCAGATCACTCCAGCAGAACCAGATACTTTATAATCCAATTAACATAGCTCCTGTTCCAGTTCTTCTGCCCTTTCGTTTTAAATTTTTCATTTTGTTCAGTTTATGAGTCACCTAACAAAGTATTCTCTAGAAAAGAAACAAAGTAAAAACAGACCATAAAATCCGACAGTGACAATTTAAAAACTGCTTTTCCATGTTAACTCTGTTATATCTATCTTACTTACTGACTCACTGAGTCAGTAGAACTTGCTTAAAAGCAGCTGTAGTCTCCCAGCTGAAATTCAGACCCCACATGGCTCCTGCAGGAAGGCCTGGCGCCAGCAGTTAGCCTTGCTGGGCATCGGTTGATTGCCCCAGGGCTTAGAAAGGCCCATCATGGGTCTTAACATGAGATCCAGGCGGATATATGGAGACACTTCTTGGGGACCAACTTGGCTCCCATCCATGGTAACTGCATAGCCTGCTGCCTCTCTTGAACTCTGAGAAAGGTGACCTGGAAAATGCCAGTGCTGTTGCTGCAGTTTGTTAAAAAAGGCTTTTAAAATTTAGATTATTATTTTTTAAATCTCTTTTTTTAAAAAAGCTTTCCTAGATGCCATGGCAAACCGCAGCAGCAGCACAATCAGCTTACCCAGAATTCCCGGCTCTCAAGGACTCTTCTTCATCCCAAGGTGGCAAGAAACTACCACTGAATTAGCCACTACAGTCAGACCTTGGAAGTCGTTTGGAAACCAACGCACAGCTTCTGATTGGTGGCAGGAAGCTCCTGCCGCCAATTTGAAGCCCCGCCGGATGTTCGTCTTCCAAAAATAATTCACAAACCAGAACACTCACTTTCAGGTTTGTGGTGTTCGGGAGCCGAAACGTTCAAGAACCAAGCTGTTCGAAAACCAATTTTGTGTGTGTTTTTAAGGAAGAGGAGGAAAGGGACTAGAGGCATAGCTGCTGCCACAAAGAGTAGGATGAGAGCTCCAGGAGCTCCAGTGTGACAGGAACAGCGGGCATCAGCTGGACTATGCTGAGGGCCCCCTGAAGTTTGACACCAGGCCTGCTTGCATGGTTACAATTCTTTTTGGCTGGCAAGAGCACTCTAAGTTTTACCACCAGCCTTTTCTTGGCTTATGTTTTCAGTAAATTTGTATAGGGGTGTGAGAAAAGAGGCATCTGTGCATCTTGCTAATTAGTGTGCATGTCATATACAGAATAATTAGATGGATCAGACAGATGCCCAGTTAAATTAATATAGGACAATATTCCCTGCATCTGGAAGAGATCTGCACCTAGACTGTGGCGGCTGCATATGTACTAAATACTTCCCACGAGCCGTAAGTGGTTCACCACACAGTAAGACTAACAATAAATGGAGATTTCAGAGCAAGCAAAGCTAATTTAATGAGTGGTAAGACTGCAGCTCCTAAATTTATTTCTGGGAAAAAGCTGCTTATTTACTCCGCCTTTTTACTGACATCTTGATTGTGAGGTGATGCAAATAATTGCTTTTAAGTGCTCTAATTCAGTCTGCTCCTGGCTTATCAAAATTCCATGCAGTATAAAATGCCTAAAGGATGTTTTGTTTTGAGATTATCCCTTCAAATGACTGCCCCTAATTTGCTATCAATTTTATTTTTTATATGAAGGGCAGAAATCACACCTGAGTGGATTAATCAGAATTAAGCAATCCAAAATGGAGAAGGGCAGGACTGTGGTTCAACCAGAATGGCCTTTTTTTTCTTTCTTTCTTGTGTTGTTTTATTAACTTAAGAAAAGATCTCATCAAATTGGTTGTTTGGTATGTTTTAAGGGAATTAAGGAAATCATAAGGCATACAAATAATGCCAATAAAAGTAGTGTTGCTTATTAGTGAACAAGCCAAACTCCTACAATGAAAAATGTTTAATGAGTAAATATGTTTAAAAGGGAAGATATGTGTTAACATTCAACACAACTAAGGCACTAGCCTCCTACTTGATGCAAAATATACATGTTTGGTCCTTATCTGAGAGCGCAACAGTCATGCAGATTATGACATTCAAATTCTAGATACCAGCAAAATAGAACCAAGAGCAAGAACTAATAGAGGGTTCTTAAATAACTTCCAGTGTTAACTCATTTGTTGATGCTGCACACTCTTTCTGTTTACATAAAATTGTTTTCATGGACTCATTGACTTGGTTTTCCCAAGCAGCAAATGATGCGGTGAACCTGTTTCTGGACTATTCCACTCTAGACCCTGGGTAGGGGCCTCACATGACTGAATGCCCCTCCCATAAAACAATAAAACCGCACACATAAAAAACTGGCTAGGCAAAAACCCTTGACTTCTTAAACTCCTATGTGCAAGTTTTACTTTTTTAAACTGAAGTGTGTCCAGTCATGTGAGAACTTACTGGTACTCCGAAATGGTATAGTCCAGAAACAGTCTACTTCTTCACCTGCTTTACTAAAACTTCAACTTGGTGACCTTTCTCTCGGTTTATATATTAAAAAAAACTTACAAAGGTTTAAGGGTAACTTACATGGCATTGGCTGTGACCAGAAGATCTGCATTATCGAAGAGGGTAAGCCCTGGCACTTCCACAATAAGGACATATGTAAATTCAATAATCAACATCAAAATGAGTTTCCCAATGCAACTGATCTGAAGGAACACAGAGCAGGCCAGGAGGCTCAGTAAGACACTGTAGGTAAAATACTGCGAGAGGAGGGATTGGGAAGCGGAAGAGGAGTGGAGGGAGGAAGAGAGAACAAACGGGAGTCAAATCAGTAAAGCACAGCAAACATCAATTAAGCAGTGCTGCAAGAATGAGGTTACACATCAACTTATTTTAATTATTCTTCTTTTGCTATGTCACATGTCAGTTAATATAAGGCTCTGAACAACTTTGGTTGAGGGTACCTTAGGTCCAGTGTGCCACTGAACATCCTTCAATGGATGCTTATACTGGGACTGGCACATTTGTCTAGCTGGGCTTCCAGCAGGCCCACACAATGCCTGACCCACCAAGCCTCAGCAGCAGTTTAGTTCTCTGGCAGTTAAAAGTCCACCTTTTATTCTGTAAGGTATGTGCATGCATGCCTATTTGAATGTACGTACATCATATATGCATACGTGTTTAATGCATCTTTGTTTTCATTAACTTGTAATTTTGTGTGACAGCTGTCAGCTGCTCCAAAGTCAATTCTACGTAAGATGCATAATGAAGGTGGCATTGCGAACTCATAGAAACCACCTCAGATCAAGACTTATATTTTTCAAATGCCACTCCCTTTAAAAGTTTGTTTAGGTATTTAATTATAAAGGAGCGCATCAGAACAGTGTGATTCTTTACATGTCTACTCAGAAGCAAGTGTCATTGACCTCAGTGGAACCAACCCCCAAGGTAAGTGTGTATAAAACTGCAGCTACATTAAACCTGGTGTGGTAGCAGCATTGAATAATAACACTATCCCACCTATTGTCTGGAGTGGTAAAGCTGAGAATTCAGTGTAGAATTGGTTTGACACATTATCAGTGGCAAAAGGATATTGTATGCAGAAGGCCCTAGGTCTGAAACCTGTAATCTCTCATTTAAAGGATCTTAAGTAGCTGGGCTAAGGGACGCGGGTGGCACTGTGGGTTAAACCACAGAGCCTAGGGCTTGCCGATCAGAAGGTCAGCAGTTTGAATCCCAGCGACGGGGTGAGCTCCTGTTACTCGGTCCCAGCTCCTGCCAACCTAGCAGTTCGAAAGCACGTCAAAGTGCAAGTAGATAAATAGCTACCACTCTGGTGGGAAGGTAAATGGCATTTCCATGCACTGCTCTGGTTTGCCAGAAGCGGCTTAGTCATGCTAGCCACATGATGGAAGCTGTCTGAGGACAAACGCCGGCTCCCTCGGCCTATAGAGCAAGATGACTGCAGCAACCCCAGAGTCGTCCACGACTGCACTTAATGGTCAGGGGTCCCTTTACCCTTTACCTTTAAGTAGCTGGGCTAGAAAGAATCTCTACCTGGAAAAAGATCTCTACCTGAAGACAATGGAGAGGAGCTGAAAGCAGCTGAAACAGACAACAGTGGGCTAAGTGATTAACTGTCTCATTCAGCATAAAACAGGGCCACTTATAGTTTGTATGAATTAAAAAACTTAAACACACCCACCTCTGGGAAATTGCAGCTTGGCTGGGAGCTGGCACATAATCCTTGTACTGTCCCCAGGCTGTAATTGGAGGCAGAGTAGCTAATATGGCACATGTTCACCTCACGTGGGGTGATGTTATACTCTGCAGCCACACAATCACGGAGATCCACAGTGCTGCAAGTGAACTGGCAGAAAGGAAGTGATTAAAAAAAAAAGGCAAGGAAAAGAGAAAACAGCTAACTACAATGGAATGTACTCAGGGCAGAGATGCATTAAGAGATGGTTCTCTGCACAATGGCAAAGTGGCCCAGCACAGATGGCTCTTGGGCCTGACAATATAAACCACCAGTTAAACAGCGGCGGCTGTAATGACTGCTTTAGCAGGTATGCAAAACATCATCTACCTCTTCCCACATCCCAAGTATTGTCTAACCCATCTAATTAATATACCATGAAACTGGCACTTGGAATTCCCAGGAAGTGCTCCATTTACAGGTGAAACAATTAGCATTGCTTTGATCCTGTCTATTTTAAAGACATAATATTGGCCAACGCACTGGAGACATTAAGTTGTAACCATGACTGGTTAGAAGAATTAGGAAAATTACTGAGCCCACGCCTACTTTTATTTCATTGGTCACACATACACCAGGAGCTATGCTTTCTGTTGTACCCTACAGCTTCTGGGCACTGATAGGTCAGTGATGCTAAATAAAAGTAACAACCAGTGTAACATACCATGTTGGCAAAGGCTGAGAGGAAAACCAATACAATGGTAAAGACCCCAACTATGGTGTTGTTGGTCCTGGACTGAACAATCTTCCTTGAGAGAGTCTGGAGTGGAGCTGGAAAAAGCTGGTCAAAAAAGAGAAAGCAAGATGTTTGAAATCATGATTCTGGATAAATATCTTGCACACTAAAGAACAATACACATTAGAAAGTACAAAAGCTGACATGCCAGATCACTAAACATCTGTCTTCCTCTAGGTAATTTTCGGAGCAGAAAGGCTAAATGCATAATTGCCTGGCATACTGACTTGCTGCTCCCTGATTAAAATAATGGTTTCTAAATCAGAACCAGAAAGAATGGTGTGCAAAACAAAACAAAACATCCGATTCTGATCTCAGAATAAATGGATATATAAACACGCATTTTGAAATAACCTGTTTTGCTTCCAAGATTCTAGCTAGAATTGAGTTTTATCTTCATGTCACCTCTTACTATGTTTAGATGGACAATAGGTAGGACTGCAGCAGTGAATTGTGCAGTAGTCAATAACACTGGCAAATGTCTTCAAACTTCCAAAGGCACCAGAGATTTGAACATTAAAGCCCAGCTGCATCAGATCAAAGACCTATCTAGTCCACCATTCTGAGTTCACGATGCCTATGGAAAACTCATAAGCAGGACCCAAGCTAAACAGCACTGTCCTGCTCATGATTCCCCAGCAACTGTTACTGCCTCTGATACTGGACGTAATGCATAGTAATCATGCCTAGCATTCATGGATACTCTCCTCCTCCATGAATTTTTCTAATCACCTTTTGGAGCCCTCGGAGTTTGGCTTGTACTGAATCTTGTGACCCTCTGGGATCTACAAACATTTATCTACTCTACAGGAGCTGTTCAGGAATCATCAACTTCAACTAAATTAACTCTAAATGGTATTTGGCTGACCAGTGAGTTTGGGATCTTGGAGATTATCTTCCGATATTAAGTTTTAACCTGGTGAGTTCAGGGGAGCGTATTTTCCTTCACTTGCTTCCCGCACATCTTCCTCCAATAGGTTTTTGTTTGTGGCTCACCCCACCCCAGCACTCAAATCTCCCGTGCAAGGAGATAACAAGGATACATTTCTAGAATTCAGATGTTTGAGTTCTGTAAAACTAAAAGGCTTCCCTGCTGTTAATTTCGCCTCATCAAAATGCTCCCCAATTCAATCCCTAGAGAGAAATCTGAGACACAGACAAATAGCAGCTCAAATATGCATCATTATCATTGCACCAACTAGGCTTCTAAGTGGTTTCTTTTTTAAAAGAAGACAGTGAGAAATGGCTTGTGTATTGCTTTTTTAGCAATGACTAACCATGCCAGCCTCTTCCTTTTTGCTCCCCCCCTTTTTTTATTGCACAGTTACAAGAGTTGCATTTTGCTTCCTACACAAGCACAATTATGAAGCTGTTTGATGAACAGGAGGGCTGATTAGCTGGTGCCTATTACAAAAGGAGACAGATACAACTTGTGACAATGCTGTGCCTCTTTTAAGCTGCTGCCTTCACCTGCGTCCATTACAGAACTATCTAAAATCACTGGACCAGATTTTTTCTTTGGTTGGGGTGGGGAGGGGGGAGATCATCTATCAGACCAGGCACTGACATAATAAAAGATAGCAATAAACTGTAAGATGATAATAAAAATCTAGCAATGTTCTTCCAAGTGGTTAAATCAAGCTTGTAAGTAGTTCTCAATGCGACAGATGAATCACAGTCAAACATCACCCTATTCTACACAGACAAGGAGAAAGTTTAAATTATGTGCAGCATGAGGTGCAGGCTTTTCATACTACCTCTGCCTGAACAAATTTTTTTTAGAGTACTGTAAGGATTTTCAGCCTAATCAGACTCCCATCAAGCTCTGAAGCAAGGACTGGATAATTACATATTTAGAACTTTACATATTTATGTAATACAGTAGTGCCCCGCAAGACGAACGCCTCGCAAGACAAAAAACTCGCTAGACGAAAGGTTTTTTCGTCCGCGATTTGCCTCGCAAGACGAATTCCCCTATGGGCTTGCTTCGCAAAACGAAGCTTGCCCCGGGGACAGCGGGTCTTCTCTTTTGAAGCAAGGGGCTGCGGGGAGATAGCGATCTCCCTGCAGCCCCTTGCTGCAAAAGACGTCCGGGGGAAGCGGGGAAGCGAAGCGCTTCGCTTCCCCGCTTCCCCCGGACCTCTTCTGAAGCAAGGGGCTGGGGGGAGATAGCGATCTCCCTGCAGCCCCTTGCTGCAAAAGACGTCGGGGGAAGCGGGGAAGCGAAGCGCTTCGCTTCCCCGCTTCCCCCGGACCTCTTCTGAAGCAAGGGGCTGGGGGGAGATAGCGATCTCCCTGCAGCCCCTTGCTGCAAAAGACGTCGGGGGAAGCGGGGAAGCGAAGCGCTTCGCTTCCCGCTTCCCCCGGACCTCTTCTGAAGCAAGGGGCTGGGGGGAGATAGCGATCTCCCCCCAGCCCCTTGCTTCAGAAGAGGTCCGGGGGAAGCGGGAAGCGAAGCGCTTCGCTTCCCCGCTTCCCCCTGACGTCTTTTGCAGCTGTTCCGAAGTGGGGCGGGGGGGCGGGGTCACCTGCCCCAGCCGCCCCACTTCGGAAAGCTGTTCCGAAGCGGGGAGGGGGGGCGGGGACATCTGCCCCAGCCGCCCCACTTCGGAAAGCTGTTCCAGGAACAGCTCCATAGGAACCTCCATAGGTGCCCGTCACCTCTCCAGCCAGGAGAGCGCGCGCGGGGCTAAACCAGCCCCCCGCGACCCTCTCCCAGCTGGAGAAGTGACGCGCGCCTATGGCAGGAGCCTCCATAGGCGCCCGTCACCTCTCCAGCCGGGAGAGCGCGCGCGGGGCTAAACCAGCCCCCCGCGACCCTCTCCCAGCTGGAGAAGTGACGCGCGCCTATGGCAGGAGCCTCCATAGGCGCCCGTCACCTCTCCAGCCAGGAGAGCGCGCGCGGGGCTAAACCAGCCCCCCGCGACCCTCTCCCAGCTGGAGTTGTGACGCGCGCATATGGCAGGAACCTCCATAGGCGCCCGTCACCTCTCCAGCCGGGAGAGCGCGCGCGGGGCTAAAGAAACCATAGCCCCGCGACCCTCTCCCAGCTGGAGAAGTGACGCGTGACTATGGCAGCAGCCTCTGAAGGATGCACCGAAGCCTGGCGTGGGGGGGGGGGCGGAGAGACCTTCTCCCCGCGCCAGCCTTCGGATGGCTGTCCTGAAGACTTGGGGTGGGAGAAGGGTTTTCCTTCCCACCGCCAACATTCAGAATGCTGTTCTGAATGTTGGCGGTGGGGAGGAAAAACCCTCCTCCCACGCAAGCCCCGGGAACAGAGGGAAAGCGCTGCGCGCCTTCCCCTCTGTTCCCGTACCTGTGCTGAAGGCTTGCGGTGGGGAGAAAAGCCCTTCTCCGCACCGCCAGCCTGGCAAGCGGTTTCCCTAGGAACGCATTAATTGATTTTCAATGCATTCCTATGGGAAACCGTGCTTCGCAAGACGAAAAATTCGCTAGACGACAAAAATTGCGGAACGAATTAATTTCGTCTTGCGGGGCACCACTGTACAGAAATTCATCCAATCCCAAATTTGGAAAATGTCAGCATTTGAACTGCTTTCTTCTATTTGAGAACCTAACTGCTCGTTATTTGACTATCTGGAAACCATTTTTCAAAATGGTCTAGCCAAAGTAGAAAAACCCAGATTTGTTGGCAAAGAATATGTTATGCAATGTATGAAAAACCATTTTCTCATAAACATTTACCTTTCATTGCCCTGGAATGTGGAATACAAAATCTGAGGTCATAAACCACTAGTCAGGGATGGAAAAGCTCCAGCCTGTGGACCAGGTTTGACCTGTCAAGCCTCTCCATTTTGCCCATGAGGCTGTTTTTCCCAAACCAGGCACACCTGCCTCACACCTGATATCATATGTGATGTCAGTTGTGGGGCAGGTAGAGGCACAACTGGATCAGCTGCAGAAAGCAGGACAGAACTCCCCACACAAGGAGTGATGCACAAGTTCAATCCCACGGGTTCAGCTACTTTGCAGGGTGCAGGGTACTTCCTGCATGCACATCAGCTGATGTGCAGGGTGTTCAATTCTCCTTGGATATTAACCTGCAAAGTTCTTACCTGGCCCTACCCACAGAAGGCCGATATTTTTAAAAATCCAGCATTGGAAACTCTAAGAAGCAAATGACAAGAATCAATGACTGATATTGTTATAGAAATGAAGTAGAGTCATGATGGTAACAAGCAATGAACCCTGAAGGACAGGCCTTGCAATCTAGTTATGACCTTTGTTGAAATATACACAGGACACCCAAATCATGCAGCAGCAGGGGGCAAATAAAAACGAATCAATATAGAAGGTATAAAATTCCTAACTGTCACACTCTAGCTTGGTTCACACATAACAATAAGCTATTGGTGTTTAACAAGCCATGAATGAACCGCAAGTTGTCCCATGACTTGTTCTGTGTAAACTTGTTTTGTTTTTCAGATGTTCTTGCCTCAGGCCTTTGTAGGTTGGTGAGCCTCTAAGATGAAGTAGCCAAACAAACTATGGTTAAGGAAGAGTGCTGGATATGCATATAATACCAAGTCATAGTTAAAGCAAGTCAAAGTTTGTGAGTAAACAACAAAAAATGGCTTCAGATCATGGATTGTCGGCAGTAAACAAACCAAAGCTAGGTCACTGGACAGTGTTTGAATGATCAAACAAACCATGGCTTAGAATTATATGCAAACCAACTACTATGCTCAAGCAGGCTGCCCTCCCCATCACTGATCACCTACGCATGTTCTTAAACTGGACAAGGAACACTAGGATTAACATGAGACACCAACAAACTGGTTAAATCTCTTAAGAATAAGCATAGTCTAAGCACAAAACCTAGTTATTCTCTTTATGACACCTTTAAAGAGTATGTTTTCAATTAGCAAACCAGACTGTATTTGAAATAGAAGCTAATTTCCTACAAATAGCAGCCTATCTCAGAAATGTGGAAGCTGAGTCAGAATGGGTCATCAAGAAGTTCAGTACTGACAGCAATAAAATACTTTTGGAAGCTAGGGCAATAGTTCAGAGCCTAAGCACTGAAATCAGCAAACCAAGGCAAAATAAAGGTTATAACTATAGCTGTATGATTTGTCACTAGGTATTTCATGAGTCACTACTAGTCACTTTTCCATTAGCTGGTTGTTGTTTTTTCTTACTGGAAAGAAATTCAAACAGCATTCCAAGTACTGACAATGCTTTATAGAGTACAAAAAGGCAAGGGACTCTGGGTAATAGTGGTTCTGCTCCTACTTAAGGGAGGCTGTTGCTCAGCCATGCTATTTCAGGAAATTTGGAGCAAGGAAATTTGCTGATGATCCCCAGCTCTATTTCCTCATTCCATCTGAATCAGGAGAGTCAGTTCAGGTGCTAGACCAGTGATTGGAAGAGGTGATGGGCTGGGTGTGGGACAATAAATTGAAGCAAAATCCCAATAAGACAGAAGTATTATGTGTTCCAAGTTCTCTGGTTCAAGGGGAGGGGGGGAGAGGGCCTCTTCTCAAAAGGGTTACACTCCTCTGGAAGGAGGGGGCTTGCAACTTGGGGGTACTCTTGGTTCCAACATTGTTACTTGAAACTCAAGTGGCCTAAGTGACTAGAAGGCCTGTTTCCAGCTCTGACTGGTTCACCAGCTCTGGCTTTGGTCCTTCGTGACTCAGCCTCCGTACTCCATGCTTGGGTATCTTCAATCCTGAAACTTCAACTGGTTCAAAATGCAACAGCCAATTACTGGCTGAGGCTCCATTCAAGCCCCTATAACAACTATGCTGGTTAATAGTTAGTTTCCATTCACTTTGTTGTTTAGAGCTCTAAAATGATGTAGGAGCCAATTATCTTATCGGCTCCTTACCTACAGACTGTCAGATGTTAAGATGAGCAGAGGAGGCCGTCCTGGCAGTTCTGACAGAAGTACACAGAATGATAACCCAAGAGAGGGCTTTCTCTGTGTCAGCCCTTAAATTGTGGAATTCCCTTCCCACAGAGGTGTCTAGCATCATCATGGAATAGCTATCACTGTATGCTATATGTATTACTTGGTCTTACACACACACACACACACACGATCCATCCTATTCCTCTGATTGAAAATTGTTTTTACCGGATTTAATATTGTATTTTTGTATTGTTGTAATCTGGGACCCTTATGGTGAAGGACAGGTAAGAGATCCAAAATCCACAGCAGATCAATGTCTTTATGAAGACTAATCAAATTGCCACAAAATAGTGAGCAAATCATCACCCACTTGCCGGAGAATAAATCCCATTGAACTAAATGGGGCTTACTTCTGAGTAGACACATATAGAATTATACCATCAAATTACTACCACTCACCTTTACGCAGGAGTAGATGACTGAAACAAATATTACTGTGGTGAGGATCACAAAACAGGTCAGGTAGAATGCCAGCATAAACACAGAGCTGAAACCAGAAAACACAGCCATGTGAGATGAGTGTAACAAATGAAAGGAGGCATAGAAGAGTCATTGGAAGATGTAGGAAGAGAGGATAGAAAACCACAAGATCACTGTTCTCTTTATGTTAGCTAAGAAATATAGGAGGAAGCACCGCCCTCCTGAGATAACAGCTCCAACAATGAAAAAAGAAAAGGGTTATAATTAAGAGTAGGTCAATCCACAAGTTGGTAGTGAACAACAAAACTGGATGGCAGCTTAGTAAATTTGAGAAAGAAATATTTGCAACCCACTGTAATCATTTCACACTGTTTTTAATCAGTATGTTACATTATATTCCAAAATCCAGGTACAATTTTCATTCTCATTGGTTCTATTTAAAATGATCTAAAACATCTAAAGATGCATTATTTGTCAAGCACTTGAAAAACAACAACAGAAAAATGAAAAACAGAGCAAACACCCAAACAAATTCTGGCCACTTCCTTTGCATCAATAACCCAGTTCACACACCACAGTAAGCCATAATTAACAACTTGCTGTGAGTGCACAGATCACTCTACTATGTTCCTTTCATAGTGTGAGAGCAGGAGCAACAAACCACAATATTTACCTGAACATTGCATCTGGATCATGGATTGTTGTTGGTTTTACTCAAGAACAAATCTTCCCTGTGGAGATTACATTTCTCCTGAGGGGCAAGCAGTAGCTTCAAATTGGGAGTGGGGGAAAGCAGAATTTCATTTCTACACACCACCACCCCATAGCTATTTCCCCAGTCTAATTTGGCCTCTCCGCCTTGTGTAGCTGTCTAAGGTAAAGGTAAAGGTACCCCTGCCCGTACGGGCCAGTCATGACAGACTCTAGGGTTGTGCGCTCATCTCACTCAAGAGGCCAGCGTTGTCCGGAGACACTTCCGGGTCACGTGGCCAGCGTGACAAAGCTGCATCTGGCGAGCCAGCGCAGCACACGAAAACGCCGTTTACCTTCCCATCAGTAAGCGGTCCCTATTTATCTACTTGCACCCGGGGGTGCTTTCGAACTGCTAGGTTGGCAGACGCTGGGACCGAGCAGCGGGAACGCACCCCGCCGCAGGGATTCGAACCGCCGACCTTTCGATCGGCAAGCCCTAGGCGCTGAGGCTTTTACCCACAGCGCCACCCGCATCCCCTCGTAGCTGTCTAGAATATAAAATAAAAGGGATCGGATTCTGGATCCCCCAGCACCAGGTCTACTTTGACCCTTAGATATGTGAATGACTTTTGAACCAAGTTGCATCTATAAATTAATTATGACTATTGAGTATAACTAAAAAAGTGTTTACATGTTGTTGTTTTACTGCTATCCAAGCTAACTGATAATCAAACCATGTAGCATTCCATTTTTGTGTGAAGTCCTTGGAATTTTTATATGTGTTTTAAATGGAGGGGGGCTTGCATGTTGCAATAAATTCTACCTCCACCGTCAAGACGCATTATGCCTCCCTGAAAGCCAGTTGATAGGAATTACAGACAGGCAAAATGCTGTTGCACTTGTGACCTGCTTGTGGGCTTCCCAGAGAAATCTGGCTGGCCACTGTGAAAACAGGGTGCTGCACTATGATGGGCTATTGGCCAGATTCAGTAGGTTCTTCTTATGTTTTTTAAGTGTAGTAGAGGTATGAAACTTGGCTGGTATGTCACATTAGTGGAAGGGAACTGTTTCAATGGTGCACAGAACACTAGGTAAAATCAGACAGTTCTGTCTCTTTCTTCATCACCCCTCCTTGCACCCTTCCAATTTTGAAAAAAGGTCCAGTCTGTGGCCCAGTTGCATTGGTTAGAATATCTTAACTGAACAGTGAGTGGCACAGCAATGACAGTGACTTTTGCCACCTCAGCACAGAAGGTGGGGCCAGGTCCTGATAGTGCCAGAGCAGGGAACAAATATTTTCTCTTGTGCCAGTACTGATACCTATGTATTGGGTAGATCTGTTTCCCAGCTACCATATAGAATCCAGGTTATACGGGCTTGTTCAGAGTAATACCTCCACTTCAATTCAGAACATCACTGCCATGTTTTAGTGTAGGATTTATGAGTGAAACATTTCCATGTTACCTCATTATTAAAAACAACAAACAAACAAACAAACAAAACCGGCTCACCCTTCCCTTCCTATTGCTCAACCTCATCCATAATTCAACAACAATCATTATCACGCACGGTAACATTAAGGCTAACCACATGAAAGCCAGCTGGGTTTCATGCTCTTCCCTGACTACAAAGAGCATTTCTACTTGCTAATATATTCATCAGGCTTTTGTGGCTTTCCTGCTGATTGTAATAAATTTATCACTGCCATTTTGCTGAGAGTTTTCATTTCTGGACCCCTCCATGCTTTTGGTCAGTATCTCATGGACATTTACAGTGCTCAACACACAAATATCCATTGCCACACAATATCACAAACATTGAACTGGTTCAGACATAATGATTTCAATCCGATAATCCATGGTTTGGGGGCCAAGAATGATCTCTCCTTGAGTACCTAATTTCAATCAAGTTTTCTTAAACTAGTTTGAACCAGGAAACTGTTGTTTAAGTGCTGCTTACAAAGCAGAAGTCTTCTTTGAAGCCAGACATGCAAAGAGAGGAGAGAAGAGGAGCATGTGGGCATAAGCCTCATTCTTTGTCTGATGAACTATAGTTTACAAGACCAAGATGGTTATGTCTGAATTGAGCCATCTTATATGTATAATTTGGTTGTCCCAGCAGTTCTTAGAGAATGTCTGCACTACAGACAAATATTTACATTGCAAATAAAAAGCAAATGAAGCAATGAACCTCTAAAATACACAGCTGAGCAATACCTTTATGAAGACCAATTAAAATGCCACAAAATAATGGCAAAACGTTTGAGTTCTCCAGAACATTTAATCAGGTAAAAAGTTACACAAAGCAGGGGGGAGGGGGAAATGTACCATAATCAGGTTGGATATTGCAGCCATAAGGTAAGTTTTTATATTTAGCTCCTTCATCAAGTCTCTGCTAGGTGTTACAGTTATCAGGCTACACACCCAGGATTCTGGGATAAAGACTCAAGGACTGCTTCCTATTTTTAATTTTGCTGATATAAAGACTGAAGTGTTTGTCTATTTCTTGCTCTCTGCTTAACTAGGAAGCTTTGTCAACATCTAGTCTAACTTTTTTACTTCTTAATTTTCCCTGCATTTCACCCCACCCCTCACCCCAGTTTTGTGTGGCATATTGCCTGATGAAGAGTTCTGGAGTTCTGGATAACCAAAAAGGGTGCAGATAAATCAGTTTAATATTGTTGCATGCCACCCCAATCTCCAAGTGGTCCTGTGAGAAAGAGTTAGTGGCTGTCTAACAGAGAATTGTGAGTGTCCTCAACAAACCACAATTCCTAGAATTCTCCAGCAGTGGAAGTAATGACAGCATTATTGCTTTAAAGCCAAAGTAAGTTTGCAGGGTAAGTTTAGCTGGGAAAATGACCTCTCCAAGGATTTGTCCTAAAGCTCAGACTTGATGGCTTTCACCTTCCCCACAAAGCTGTTAGAGCAAAAGTGAAAATTAGCTGCTAATCGTTTTTTGCAGTGTGTATTTTGATTCCGGACTCTAGACATGGCTGCCAAACTACTGTCAACACCTCTGCTATTTTGAACCACCACTAAGTAGAAAGCTGGCCTCTTTACACCACAGTTTTATTATGGGTAAAATTATAACTAGAGTCCTGCTTCACAGTCTACAACCCTGTGAACTGAATTACAGTAAGATGTGCCTGGGATTTCCAGTTTCAGCAAATAATACTTTAGTTGACATTGCTACATTTTTGTGGCTATCTTTGCATTCTCCAATATAACCGAAGTCTTATCATCAGGCAGCTTCCAAGATCACGTTGTTCTGGATTGCCTTAGCAACATCCAGACAAACTACCATGCCTGAAGCACATGATGCTTGAGGGCTTTGCCAAGATGAGCCCTGGATCCAGCTCAAATCTAATCCACTTTCTTTTTCTCCTGGCACTACAGAGACCATCAGGGAAACAGCATCATATCATTGATGCAAACAGACACATACTTGGGAGGGAGAGGGTCTTGCTGCTTGCATACAATTTTCCACTGTCCTGGCAGCAGTCTCCATTCCTTGAAAGAATATACTGCTTACACCGTTATAGCACAATTCCCTGACTTACCTTTCTTGTTGCTCTTATGGCGTTTGGGAGACAAGAAGTGAAGGGTACTAAGAATTATCAAAGTGATGAAATCTGTAGGTGCTCATTGCAAGGGGTGTGTAGGCAGATCACTTGCCTGTGGGAATGACCCAGTATATGGTTGTTGCTTGAGATCTTTCTTAAAAGCAAACTCTGGAGCCAGCCCAACTTCTGCCATATTTGTTACTTAGCTAAGACAACTAGAAATGATTATATATATATATATATATATATATATATATATGGGTAGTTATGCAATGTGTAATATGTTACACTGAAACTTTAGGCAGTGGGTGGAAATCAATGTTGAACAATTACAATTATTCAGTCAGAACAATAATTTCTGCTTGCCATACAGAACAATCTCCCCTCTCCCCACCCTATGTGCTGCTCTAGGGGTGTAATCCTAGGATCCACTAAGTCCTGGCACCTGAAGACACATGTAGCACATAATGGAAAGTCATTCCAAAGTAAAAATAGCTTCGGGGGAAAAAATTGTTTCTTGGTCAGAAAGGAAAACTGGAAAGTCTGCTTCATCTGTAAAAAAAGCCAACAGCAATGCAGACCTTGCCTCAGCAATAGATGCTTTCCCAACATTACATAAGATGGGTGCGTTGCACCTTCAAGGAACACGGCAAAGGTCCCTATTCCTGTGATTACTGGGCCATTTCTGTAAAAGCTCAGAAAAGGCACAAATCCTGTAACAGTTGTGATTACTGAAGAATAATGGAAATCACAGACCTCTGATCTAAAGCCTCAGAGATGCTGAGCTAAGCCAGAAAGAATAAATTTAGTAGCTTTTAATCACACATTAAAGTGAAGAGATCAACCTAAATTTAGCTGCAAGCCTCTTTTTTGATTTCTCTTCAGTTTTCCTAGATGGAGCCGTCTAAATTTTAGATTACATGTTTTTGGCTCCCGCTGCTTTGTGGAACTGATTTTCTGCCTCTCCTTGCACAGTGCTTTTTCTTTAGCCTCGAAGAAGAACAAGCCAGGATGATAAAAGCAGCAGTAAAAGGCCTAAGAAGTTTCATATGTGGGGGGGGGGGGAACACGGTGACTTCAGCCACATCTTGTTTCCTGCCACTAACTTTTCCATCCTTTTCATCTCCGCACTCCCTTACCTCACCTCACATTGCTTCCCTGTCACTCTCCTGAACCCAGCTTCTTGGTGGAATTGCAGCCACCTTTACTGCTGATAATGCAAAACTCCAATATGTAGTCCAAAAAACTTGCATAAAAAACCACTCCACTCATACCATTTCTCCATCAATATTTTAAGATCCAGAAGATGACAAACAATACCATGAGCGGAAAGAGAAAGGTCATGGACTAAAACATTTGTACCAAAGGACAAACAGCAAAGCAGGAAATAACTTATTAAAAATAATAATTAGTAAACATAAAAGTGATTTGTTTCAAAGCATCAAATAACACATTTTAGTTTCAATCTTGGTTAAAACTGAACCAATTGGATCAATAACAGAATTCGAACAATTGATATAGATACTTATAACACTTGCAAGTAAGGGAAATAGTATCCAAAATGCATAAACTACTCAGAGTCAATACCACAATGGTATCAAAAACCTTTGCGGAAAAGATACTGGAGAAACAAGTTGATCAGAAAAAAATGGAGTCAATGTGGAATAAATACTACTTAAAATTGCTTTAATTTTAAAAAAAGCAAATGGAGAGGTTGTACCTCTGAATAAATGACACAGCCAGCCCTCATTGCTGAAAAAGATATATCACTATAAGAATATTTTATGCTATACATCATGGGGGAGAGTTATTTGGTTGTTTCTGTTTTTATTTTGATTATGTATTCTGTGTTGAGCAAGTTTAGGCGTTATGCTCAAAGCTGCATGCATGTTATTTATGTTCATGATTCATTTCGAATGCAGGTGTTGAGTTTTCTACTTGCGCATAGAGTACAATGTTGCAAAGCGTAGTACCCTAGATAAGCACCCACAGGGTCTTTTCCTGTGATATTTATGTGAAAATAGACTAAATCATATTTCTCAAAGGCAGAAATAAATAGACATAAACTATAATATTAGTATCAACCAATATTACATTACAATACCAAAGGAAATGAATGTCAACAATGAGCACTGCAGTTTGCCACACAGCCACACATTATGGGAAAGAATTTTACTTCACTTTAGTGCAAAGAAGCCAGGGATAGTAAAAAGGAAGATGGATTGTGCAAGGGAAGATAAAGATCTACTCACTGTGGCACAATTGTGATTTGAACAAAGCAAATGAAGAGGAAGACTATGGAGGCACAAGCCACATATGCACCAAATCGATCGTCCACCTGTTTGGAGTACTGCAAGGAAAGGAACCATGTGTTAGATAGTGAATTCTCATGTTATAGCCCCTTTCTGAATCTTGCATTTCTTAACAGATTTGCCTCTGCCCTTATTGCTGTGTTGTCAGCTTGACAGTGGTACAGGGGGCTATAAAATGGAAATAAACTGATACTACCTTTATAGGCAATTACTACAAATTCATATATTAGATAGGAGGACACATATCTCACACAAAATACCCAGTGCCAAGATCACCTTCTTCAAACATCTGCTGAAGGTTTCCTTCACTAGTGCCTCTCCTAGAGAATATCACCAAAAAAGGGCTGCTTGCAGGCAATTTTTTAAACAAACTCAGAAACTAAAAGGGAAAAACTATGAAAAAATGTGTAGAAGCATTCTTATTAGGAATGATGAATTCTGAGATCTCATGTAACATTGTAGATATATGCAAAGTTTCAAGAAAAGCAGCTCATCAGTTCTTCCTCACCTGTTCAAATATGCTCATGGCCCAGGACCAAATGCAATAAAGCAATTGGAAAAGCAGCTGAAATTAATGTACAAATACTGTCTCCCAATACACCATATCTGACAACATGCTTTTTGCTATCTAGGAGCCATCTGAGAAGCATTGGTATGTAAAAAGAGGCCAAAGTTCTTTAGTAGGGCAATATAAATTTATTAAGTATCGATGTTTAGACTGGGGAAGAAGAAGAAAAAACAGAAGATTATTGAGGGCCGAAATACAAATGACAATGGCAGACTGAAATCATTAAAAAGTCTTCCCAAATTGTGTGAGAAGTGGGGACTGGGGGTTGCAATTTAAAGCTTTTTAAAAAAAGGTGTGTGGGGAGAAGACTGTGAACCTCTCTACCTCAGCTGAATACCAAAGGGAATTTTTACCCACTCTCCCCAATGGGCTCCAATACTGGAAATGAAAGAGCTGAGGGGGGAAAGCAGCTTTCAGAGAGATTGAGGGGGGGGGGCAAAAGCAGTGGTTTTTTGGGGGGGTCTATGCATCTGATTCACATGCCTCTATTGAACTTTAAATCATGCCCCTTGCTTTACAAATGATTTGCACCGATTCAGATTTTACAACTTTAAAGTTTAAAGATACAGATTTGTCACCATCATCTGTCTGGTTTCATTCTTAACTGACCTCCACAGACACACCTCTTCTTGAGGAATATTACCTTCTTCTCCAAGTCAAGTTCCCTGAATGTTAAGAGAAACTTGCGAACGTGTTCAGAACGTAAGCGGTCAATACTCCTTGCATCAATGGCGCGGCCTAGAAACTCATCCACTTCATCTTCCGGATTCATGCTTTCCTGGATATTCCTATAAAGCAGAGACCAGTCAGCCTGGGTATTTACACCAGAAGAGCCTTCAACAATGTGTCACCCAAAGGATGAATCAGTTCATCACTTTTGCCTATTGCAAGCCTACGCTGGGTTTCTACTGACAGTCTGAAGGAAGAATTCTACTGTCATTTTGGAAACATGAATTTATTCTGCAGCAATGTAGGCGGCATTTGTAATTCTACATAAGGCTGCCTTTCCAAGCTTCATCAGTGCCCTATAAGCCTTCACATTATGCTGACCCTAAAGGAGAACCCAGTGACAACTTATGAAACTGCAATCTTTTGGGTTTCATGAATTGCAGTAAGCATCTCCCTTTACTGTTATTTGCTATCAGGAAATTTACAAGTGGTACCTTGCAGTGTATCCTCACCTGTTAACAGCAGTGGCCCAGACACACATCCTTCAGGATTCTCTAAGCTGCAAAAATGGTCCTTCTGTATACTGCAGGGCTCACCCAACCATGCAGGGACCACATTGCTTTCTCAGTGCTGCTGATTTGACGACTTCATATGAAAGAAGTCAACCTGACTGTAGCAGATCATACTGAAGACAAACACCTAGGTTTCTTTTGTCAGCCTCTTGAACTACAGAGGGAAGCTACAATATTAACCTGCCTGCCTTCAGAAATAGTATTACTGACCTCTTTAGAAGCCACACTCATAACTACAGAATACATTCAAGGGATCTTTGCACATCTGATAAGAAACAATGCCCTGTAAACCCTATGAGGGAAAAGGTTCTATTTTGTCACCTTATTCAGTAGAGCAGAAGAGCTCCGTCTCAAAGGAAACAAAATCAAAATCCCCATACCCAAAGGTAAATAATTCAGGTTTACCTCATGGCTGTTGTACCCATTATGAATGATAGGTAGTATCAATTTTTTTGAACTTGTTGATGATTTTATGTTCATAATTCATAGTTCAAATAGTAAGACCAAATGTATTATGCTATCACGATCTATCACACCCAAAGTAAAGAATTCCAGCTCTTTTCACAGTCAAAATCTAATATTTGCTATGGGAAAACTGAAATAGTATAAGCCTTGCATAGCGAGTTAACCATGTTAAAAATATCATTGAAATTTGTCTTAAGAAAATTAAAGTTCTTTTATTAAGAAATGAATGAGCAATCTAGTTAGGGATCTCTACATTTTTAAAACTAGCTCTGTTTCCAAGAACATAAGAAGAACATACTGGATCAGACTGATGGACCATCTAGTCTACCATCCTGGTCTCACAGTGGCCAACCAGATGCCTGTGGGAAACCCGCAAGCAAGATTCTCGCACAAGAGCACTCTCCCCTTCTGCGGCTCCCAGTAACTGGCATTCTGGTTACTACCATAACTGGTTACTACCTCCAACTGTGGAGGCAGAGAACAGTCACCATGGCTAGCAGCCATCAATAGCCCTACCCTCCATGAATTTGTACAATTCTCTTTTAAATCCATCTAAGTTGGTGCCCCGGGGGGGGGCTGCACAAGAAGATAGCTGTTTGTCCCCCAAGGAATGGATCCCTTCTAAGGGAATGTTTCCCGCTACCTCAAGACACCCCTCTTCTTCCCCAACACCTTCATTCTTCCTGAAAGCAGGGGAACTATCAATATATATAGGTGGTAGGGTGCTTTATATCACCCACTGATTTGGAGGCGGGGGTGACATTAAAAATCTCACCCACGGCACATAGAAGAGAACCTATAACATTCTACCTCACATCCTTTGCGGAGACTTCAAAGCCATTTTACCTCTGTGCCATGAATGTTCTCATTTAGCACAAGCCATGTTTTAATAAAATGGCAGCAAACAACTGCACAGCCCAGATCTTGAATTATTCACCTCAGATTTTCATAGCCAAACAAACTTCACTTGGTCTTCTCTGGCATCTCTAATAAAAATGCTGCTTTAACAAACACCCTTAATTAGGCAACTGGTGATGAATTTGGAGTTCTCTGTCTCCCATCCCACTCCTGCCTTATATAACTCATATCTGAAATTCCTCAGATGCCATTACAAATCTAATTTGTATACTGGGGTTACAGACAGCAGCAACCTAAGTATTAGATAGGGTATGCTTATTAAAGTCAGTTTTATTGTTCATAAATCTTGATAAAATATGTTTAAAGAGATGTACTATAATCCCTAGTATAAACTTTTCCTGATAAAAATAGTAGAATTTAGGGCATTCATTAGACAAAAAACTTTAAAGTGAAGTTGTTTTTTCATATGTGATTTTCATATCACAAGAAAGATCTATGTTCTAAAAGACACTTTCATTCAAACACAAAAGATTATTACTAATTTGAGGCAGTCTGACCTGGTAAAAGATTTAGACAAACAAACAAACAAACAAACAAACAAACAAACAAACATGTTAAAGATCCTAAGAAGGCCCAGACATTTAGTGGGAATTACCCTTGTTAATAATTTGCAAAATAAGGGCATATTTCCTGGAAATGATTCTTAATTAAGCTTTGTATAATGGCTCTTACCACAGTCATTTTATAGAGCTTTTAGTCTTATGAAAGCAATTAAGAATTGTGAGAGAGGGGGAGATAATATTTTTTTAAATCTCAAAGACTTGTTGAAAGTAAACAAAATGGGAAGAAGGAGTTATACAGATCCTGAATTCAACACTTTAAAAAGCATTTGATTTTTTCCATCATTTTTCTTTTTAGGCATGATAGAGATGGTTTCTTCCTATTTCCTCATTCCTTTATACAGTTTGAAATTAATGAGGCATCCAGCTATTACCTTATCCTTCTTTATTACTTTTATTCTCACGTGCACATAGATACAAAAGCTGGAGATCAATAATTAAGTCACTACCTCCTCCACTTCCCATCTTTGGATCAGGAGCTACACAGCAACAATACAAGCAGCAGCAGCAGCAGCAGCAGCAGCAGCAGCAGGGCTCATGTTTTGACTAATCAAGAAGCATCTCCTTTCTGGCAAATTGGCAATGAAGTCACATCCTTCATAGTCAGAGAACTACAAGTGCTCCCCTCCTTTAACATGAAGTAGCCTTACAGGACTTTACATCAGGCAATCTCTGCAGGGCTCTTGTAGGCGACAATCAGCAGTTAATCTGTGGCATCCCTGAACTTCTGAGGTTATGCAGAAAAGGGCTAATAGAGTTCTACACTTCCCCCACCTATTAACTTTCTCCTCCATTTTTCCTTTGTGCCATGTGAAAAAGATGTTTGGAGTGCTCCAAATAATACTTTAGATGTGTCACAGAGAATGAAACCAAACAGTGCTTGGTGTCCATCTTGAAACAGAGTTGTTCAGGAATGCAGGGTTGCTGTAGATAATCATCACAATGACCCTGTGAGTTAGGTAAGGCTGAGAGTTAGTTCCTCTTCTTTTCCCTCTCACTTTCTTTTTAGTTAACCCCCCTCCCCCGTAGCTGCTTATTCTTGAATTTCTCAAACTGGTGACACCCAGTTTAAGAGCCTTTCTACACGTGCAACCTTTTTAAAAATGTGGCTCATCAAAGCTCCCCTAAAGAACAAAAGATAATGCCAGTGGCAGGATGGTGTAATGGTTATGTATGTATTCATCACATGGGCTTTATGATCCTCTTATGTATTGTGTTCCAAAACCTAATAAACATTGAATGAGGAAAATTGTGACTTAAGGTGATGTATTATAACGAGAAGGTCCTCTCCACAATTTGTAGATGGCCAGCCTGAAAATTTTCATTATAATAAAGAGGAATCAATTATATTTTTTCTCTTACTTGTCTTTTGGATCTTCAAAGCCCTGAAAAGAAAAAAATATATATACAAATTAGCTAGCAGAATGACCTCAAGTACAATGAAGAATTCTGAACCATTACCCTACTAAATATTTCCATTTGTCCATATCACGGTGATAACAGTCATGCCAAAAGAAGGCAACATTATCAGTTATGAGTCAAAGTAAAGTTCAACATAAAGTAAAGTTCAACATAAAGGCTATAAAGTTGGTCACTTAAACTTCTGTGTCATACACCAGCTGATGTAAACATCATATTGTTCTATCTAAAACTCTTCCACAATGCACTGTGGTTCATTTTTTTACTATGTGTCCTTACAAATGGTGTATTAAAGTAGTGACTGATTGGTAGGTCGATCTGGATATTTACCTTGTAAAAAACTGAAATCATCACGGATACCAGCTAGTGATCTGCTTAGTGCATTCTGAATGATTAATTAACTCAATCAAACTTGTTTATATTAATTCAAACAATCAATATAAGTAAATAATAATAATAATTGATTCAGTAGCACCGTAGAGACCAACTAAGTTAGTTCTGGGTATAAGCTTTCATGAGCATGCACACTTCCTCAGATACCAGGTATCTTAAGAAAGAAGGAAAGAAAGAAAGAAAGAAAGAAAGAAAGAAAGAAAGAAAGAAAGAAAGAAAGAAAGAAAGAAAGAAAGAAAGCTTGGGCAAACCAGTCCTTCAGTGGCCTCCTTCTTGAAATATTCAAAATTGCCAACAATTTCTGAGTTACCTTGGGAACAGAACAGCAACTGCTCATCTCTGCAAAGATCTTGCTGCAAAAATATCTCCCTGATTATGTTCAGAAACATGACACTAGCATAAAAAGGGGGAAAGAGCACTCTCCCAACCTCCCCCCCCCCAAAAAAGAGTGGGAACTAAACTCCTCTGTATATCTCACAGATATATGCCAAAAATATGATTCTTGGCTACTTGGTAAATATTAGCTTGTCCTGGGTCTACTTTGTTTTGTTTGGACTGCGAAAAGGAACCCTTAAAGCAACAAACAGTGAAGGCATTTCAGAGCAGAGGTTTTCCTAAAGCTGATGGTAGACTCTGGCCACACTCATGTTTGGCACACAATCTCTATGTCAATCACTTCCAGATCTCTTCCACTTTGGCTAACTAATGCTCAGGAGACAGTTCCTCAATTGCTCTGTGCAGAGACTCCTGGAAAAAGAATTACCCACTCCACAACACCACCATCAAGGAAACCATGGCAACAAACATTGCTACAAGAGGGAAGAATCTTTCACAACTGAGGACACTTCCCATTTGTTGCTTTTTAAGGGGAACGACAGCATATCTCCTTAGGAAAACCCATACTGGAGGTGCCATTGACATAAGAAGAAACATGGGCGCTGGCCCATCTAGCTCAGTACAGTCTATGATGCTGCAGCATCTTTCCAGCATTTCCGAGGGGAAATTCCCAGCCCTACCTGGAGATACTGGTGACTTAAACATGGGATCTTTTGTGTGCAAAGCATGTGGCCTGCCACTGCTCTCCCTCCACATATATAACCTATGTATGAAAAGCAACCCATAAAAATTGAGAAAGGCTGTTCACATAAAACAGGGGTAAGGAACCTCCAACCCATTTGGCCTGCCAGACTGTTTTGGTCAAGTCACACTCACTTGCCCCACATCTGATGTCATATCAGGTATTGGAAACGTAAAGGCAGAATTTGGACAATAGGAGCTTTGCCAGCACCATGGATCAGCGGAGTCTGTACAGTGCTTCTTACATGCCAACTATCAGCTGAGTGTTGGCAGTGTGTGCAGTACTTTCCAAGCTCCAAATAACAGCTGATTGTCAGTGCGTGGGAAGTGCTGCAGCACAGTTTTTTTGCCTGTACGGTTCAATTTCAAATCATGCAGGTAAAAATGGGTCACCTGACATAATCATAACGTCAGGTGATTGAAAATTAAGCAGCAGTTCCCACCCATTAAGCTCGGCTCAGAGGTGCCTGGAAATAATTTCTGATTGGCTCACAGGGGAGCGAGTTCCCCACCCCTCATATAAAGCTTCAGATAATCTAAATGAGACTTCTTTATTCAAGCAAATTTTCAAATTGTCACCTTAAAAAAAACCACACACACACACAGATACAAACAAAATTGGGCCTGTGGATTTATGGAAGTACACACTTTAACATAATCTTGGACAGTAAGATAATGATTTGGAAACAAAGTAATGGAAACAAAGTAGGTGAGCTGTCCAGTCTTGGCTGGTTAGTGACAGCTGCAAATCAAAGCCAAGTTCAGGAGAATGGAACAACAGATGATTTCGGATGAGGGGGCAAGCCAAGCTACAAATTAGAAACAGAGACATGAGCAATGCTTAAAAGAGAGAAGGAACCAGAAGATGCTACAGGTAGGCGAGCTATCTGTGGTCTAATGAACAGCATGAAGATGTAAAATTACAAGGGAAAGAGTAATGCTGGCAGTTCAAGAGCTGCTTCCCACAACAGGAGATAGGAGATAAGAACAGTATCTCATGTGAAAGGTCATATTTCCTTTTAACTTAATAAGCAGTTTCCTTACATTAAAAACGTAAGAGACAACAACTATGAAACTCTTGATTCTCTTTCACACATGGGGCAACCTGCCCCACCAATTTAAGCAACAAGAGACAGTGAAATATTTTACTCCTGTCTTCCTCCAGCGGGAAAACAAGTCATGGAGCAACTGTGTTAGCATTATATCTGAACAAGTGAAGGTTTGTTCTAGGGAGGTAATACAAAACCACACATGGGACCCAGGAGGTGCTGTGAAACCTGGGGCTGATCACCAGCCAGCTTCAGCTGCCTCAAACCCCATGCAGCTCCACAAGGTGGTTCCATTGGGAAAGGGTTAGAACTGTGTATGAACTAATATGTTTTACCATGGTTTATGGCGTGACACTGTGCCCAAACATAACCACTGTGTTGGAAAACAGCACTGAGAGTGCTGAGCAAGTTATTTTACTCATATACCTGCAGCTGGTGCATGTTCACGACCTCAGACTCTTTTATTTAACCCAGTGTGATAAACTGCTATTTTAGCAATGTTTGCTTTGCACTGTAGGCTAAGGAACTTCTGTTTTATGACTTATTTGGTATGTAATTTTCTGTGATGGATACTATTGGTTTTTCTAGTGCATTGCACAGTTGCATGGAAGCATAATTAAGAAAAGTTTGATTAATTATAAACTCCTAACTTGGGTTTTGTAACATGAAACAGTACCAGCTTTGGCATAGGTTTTTTGGGGGAAGTAGGAGTGGGGCAAAGAGATTTGCAGGTTTGTAGTTAGTGGAGCTATCCAAAAGCAAATTAATCATAAAACACAGGTCTTCACTATTCCAAGAGCAAAGAGAGAACAGTTAAGAAAGAAATGATGTTCTACAAAGAAAGACAACAATGGCTGGAAACAGATAATTTTTTCAGAGAGTTGAAGGTGGAATAATAGAAGCATTGTTCCCTGCAATGTGCATTCTCATTCCAGTATCATCTCTGGTAAACACACTTTGCAAGCTTTTTTGATGCTTTAAAAACAAGGGAAAGAGTATTTTAAAACAGTAGGCAAGGGAAATTAATATGGATACCAAGGATAACAACTACATCTATTAAATTACCTTTGATTTTATCAAATATGCACAATCTATTGCACATAGCTACCCTCTACCAGCTTGTCATGGGACATTGTTGAATGATACATTTGTTTGATTCATTCTTGTTATAGGCATCACTTTAAGTCTTGGATTTTAATTATAATTTAACGCTATCTCTATACTTCTGGGAGAAGGATGGGTTAGAAATAATGTAATTGCTGTTGCTTTTAGTTTTGTTATATTTGAAAATCACTAAAATAGGGGGAGAATGATATCATCCTTATTTTTTTTAACCTTTTCTCTAGCCTATCATACTCCCTCCAGCTTGCACAATTACTAGTCACAACATGCATATTTGAAATGCTGTCAGCCAAAGGAAACAAATAAACTCTTCTTTGTATCAGTACAATGTTAGCACAACACTGAGCCCATACTCAGTACACAAATCCCCACATTTTTCACTGTAAGAAACACAAATCACGCATGTTATTTGTGTGTCAGATTCTCCAAAGCTATGATGCAGAAACATGCAATTCCCACAAAATATCCATTCGCAAGTAAGTTAAAGAGAGAAAAGTTGCGCCATCTTCACGTTTCAAGATGTCTTCTACTCATACAGTGCACAAAGTGGAGGGTATTTTTTTTAAAAAAATCGCAGTTTGATATTACAATAAATAATAATGTTTTCCCTCTGAATCACCAGCTAGACATAGCAAACTCTAATTAACAACATGATGCATAACACCTCTTGGCACAACTACCCTTTTCCTATGAATAGGATGATGCAAGCACCCTTCTAACGCCAATTGAAAGCAACATCTAATTATAATTACATGCTAGCTTGATTAGAATCTCTTAATCACATCATGCTTTGTGAGTTTGCATGACCAAAAAGCCAAGAGAGGTTTTATGTGAACAAAGGCTGCAGCTGCACTGATATTATGCTACTCCTACTTGACAAAACTGCATATGAAAAGCATGAGCATAAAAGCAAAACAACAAGAAAGGAGGGAAAAAACACCAGCAACATTCATTTTTAAGCCATATTACCAAATATATTCAAGCTGGTTAAACTGCATAATAGTGAATGTACAATTACTCATAGTAATATGTTTGCAAAAAACATACAGTGCTATATGATCAACTCAATTACAGCCAGTAGAAATCTCTGCTTTTTCCATCTTTTTTTAAACAGAATCAACATTACAGGTAATTATGTCTCATGCCATATTCTGAAAGAGATGCAGGTTCAAAAGCATGTTCTTAATTTGGATATGCAGGATTGCATACCTGGATGAAGTTAATTACATAATTTGCATTCCCCTACATGCTGTGCAGTTGGTTTTAATATGAGACATGTTCTAGTCAGTGTGCAGTGCAGATGTATCTTTATCTTTGAAAGAACCATTATTTTAAAAAGGAAACAGATTTATTGGGTAAAGCCTTCTGTTAATTCACAGTTAATATGTGAAACTTCAGGGACAGGTATTTGAAAGAACATTATGTGAAACAAGTGGGTATGATAATAAGAATACTAAAATAGAAGTGAATCTCAGTGCTTTTTTCCCCAGCTGGAACTCACCAGAACAGAGCTCCTTCACCTTTTTAGTGAGTTCCGGCAACTCTTTGTAGTGCTGCTGGTGCTGGAGTGATCCCCCTAAAAAAAGCTCTTTTTCTAGAAAAAAAAGCACTGGTGAATCTAATATTGCTTTTTCAATATTTTGTTTTCCTCAGGGTACATTTCTGTTAATAAGCCTACTTATTTTCAATAGTACTACTATGCAGTAAGTAATTTGAGGATTTATTATCTTGTTTGTCTTCCTGATGCATGCAGAATGATAAGCCTACATCCTCTAAACCAGGGTGTTGCAAGAAATTTGGTTGCGAGTTGCTCTAATGTTGTTTCTAATGTTACATTTTTACTTCAATAATTTCCATAAATCTATCATAACGTAACATGAGAGCAAAACATATAAATAACATGTAAAGAGAATGCAAGTGTCTATTTCACAGCTAAGATATGCCCAGTGAATTTCCCAATATGACTACCAAGAGGGTATTCAAGCTGCTCAGCACTAAACTATGAATAAATATAGTATATAAATATAGTATATAAACAACTCTGGGGTTGTGGCGCTCATCTCGCTTTACTGGCCGAGGGAGCCGACGTTTGTCCACAGACAGTTTTTCCAGGTCATGTGGCCAGCATGACTAAGCCACTTCTGGCAAAAGCAGAACAGCGCACGGAAATGCCATTTACCTTCCCGCCGGAGTGGTACCTATTTATCTACTTGCACTTTGATGTGCTTTCAAACTGTTAGGTTGGCAGGAGGTGAAACCGAACAATGGGCGCTCACCACGCCGCAGGGATTCGAACTGCCGACCTTCCGATCAGCAAGCCCTAGGCTCAGTGGTTTAGACCACAGCACCACCCGCGTCCCATAATGGCAACTTATCCAGTCAAAATTGGGTCCAATTACTTGTGAGTAAGTCCTACTGAACAAGAGTGTTGTCACTTCCAAGTAAATATTCAGGGGACTGCACTTTAAGCTGGTTTTGGACACTGTACCCTAGAAACACCTGGTGTTCTGTGGCAAACAAAAGAACAAGTTCCATATCTGTTTGACTCCTCCAACCCAATGGGGAAGGGTTTATGGACCATCCACAGGACACACTAAGAAGAACTCACAGAGTTCAAGTCAATTTTGCTGAATATTCTGTTTCCCACAGGCATCTGGTAGGCCACTGTGGCAACAGGATGCTAGACCAGATGGGTCATTAGCCTGATGCAGTAGGCTCTTCTTATGTTCTTATCTAGTGGTGGGTTACACCTAGGAATGTGGTGTCTCTCATTTCTAAAGGGGCTGGGCTGAGCTTTGAATGACAGTGCCACTCTTGGCAGTCCTTAGGCTCCCAAACTCATTGCCCAGCTAAGCAATAATGCCTCTATTGAAGATGGGTGAGGGGCTCCTGCTTCATGTCTGACCAGCAGATTATACAGCTGAAGCAAGTACTGTGTTTTCCCCAGTAGTCAAGCCCACAAGCCACTTTCACAGTACATTTTTGAGTTTTAACACTGAACTTTGGGCTGTTGGTGAAAGTACTTCTTATTCTTTAATGTGAAACTTTCCCTTTAATTGTTGTTCTGTGCTGAGGCTGCCTCCAGACTGCCGGTATTTTGCCAAAAGGATTCAAGCACATACTGGAAAATTAGGTTTACACAATTAAACTGGATTAAAGTTGCCCTGATGCAACAAACCCACTTTAAAAGTGGACTTCTCATGGTTAGGAAAATGACAGGGATGAATGAATGATTAATGGGAAGTATGACTGCCACACAAACAAATGAGTATGAATGCTCATTTTCAAATAACCGCCTTGCAAACTAATCAGAATGAATTTTCAATAAAGACCAGACATAGTCTAACCTCTCCCTAAGATTTGTCCAAGCAAATCAAGATGAATGCTCAATCAACAGGTCATCTGGAAGAGCTCTGCATTTCATCTTCTGCCTCATCATCATTGTGTGAGAAACCCTTGCTTAGTCTAACTGGGGGAGGAGGGAGATCAACAACAACAGAAATAAATTAAAAACAGATTAGACAGGGTAGACCCAACGTAGACTGCTTTGCAAGAAACATAATAGGGTTTAGTAAGCCATTCCACATTCCCTTTTAGACAGTGCTGTTTGTGGGACTCCCCACCCCCCCGAAAATGCAAGATAAATTACAGGGTTTACTTTACCTTTCAGATTGTGTAGTAAGAATGGCCTTGTCTAGGATAAGTGTTAGCATCAGATGTTTGATGCAATTCGGGTTGTACCAGTCTTTTCCTACTGCTGCCGTCAGTCAGTCCTGAGCCCAGCAGCAGATACTGATGAGATATAATCCAACCCTCTGGCTGGTCCTCACAGTTTACGTAAAGGACACTATTTTTTAGAAACAGTATTACTTGGGGGTTGTTTGTTGTTGTTCTTTAAAGTTTGAACTACTGTTTATGAGCTCGGGGTTTATAGAGCATGTTGTATCTGGTTTGATTTGTACCTCAATTGCTCCCTAACATAGTAATGCCACAGCCACCATAGACTAAATATAGGAATATATATTTACATATACACACGCAAATTTCACACACAACAGCAATACATTGCTGCATAAAACTGAACAGCGTTACCATTCTTTTCATCTCCTTGGAAACTTGGTTGCTGCCAAGATGGTTGTAAAAGGAGCGATCTACTCCCCAGTGTGGTGGGTTGTGGCCAATGGAATTAGTGCGCTGACGATTCATCTTGGCTATTGTCGCTTTCTCATCTTTCTAGAAAGAAGAACATAGTAAAGAGATTATATTTTGAAACATTTCAGTGGCTATATGTCATCCTAAACCCTGTCTTAACTTCTTTATAATCCTCAACCAGCATATTAACCAAAATCTTTAAGACTGAATGGCTGTGATAAGTATTCTTCTCATGTTACTCACTATATTACACTCCCTTCACCCTATGGTCCCCTGGCAGGTTACAACAAATAAAACGTTTAAAATAGCAGAAGTTACAGAAATAAGGTGTCAAAAGCCATGGAAAAGGAGAGGTGGATTTTCAGCACTCGCTGAAAGCTGTATGATGAAGGTGTGGGAAAGGAGCTCCACAACTTAGGAGCTGTCACGGATAATGGCCTCTCCCAGGCCACCATCCCACCATGGAACCCTCCCCCCATCTTAGCACCCAAAAGGATCTATAGGGAAGGAGGTAGTATTTCAAGTATATGGAGCCTGAGTCATTTAGGGTTAAAATTTGTTAGAAGAATTTGAACATGGCCGCATTAAACAAAAAATTCATAAGTGGCAAATCACAGAAAGATCAGCAAAGGAGAATTGAACCCCATGATAACCATGCCTTCTCTTTTCTGCATCCAAAAAGTGCTGTTTAATGTAGAAGAGCTCCAACTACAGATGTCTAGTACGAGAATGCTGCATTATGACCGAAAGTGAGGTTCAAGTGCTTCTAAAAATATAATACTATGAACTCACTTAGTTATGTATTTAGCTGGCTTTTTCCTTTCAGAAATAGCCGCAATGATTTATTTTACATTCCTAGTCTGTCTATTTCTGCCTTCCAGCTGAAAGTGATTTTACATCTACAGATTTTAAAAATATATCTCATTAGATGCCAAAAAAGGAAGAAAGAGCAAATCAGTAATCTGCAGCTAAATATTTATTGCATGGCATGAACAAATGACATTGTCTGTACATTTTATTATAGCTCAGCTAGGGGTTTTGCAACTAGTAGTTATCTAAAAAGCTGCCATAAAACCAAGCCTTTATCTTTCTTTAAAACTGTTTCATTACATTATAAAACCCTCCTATTCACAGATAAGAGCTGTCATATCATGAACTTTCTCTAACGATCATATTTCTGACTTACTGAGAACAATGTGTATTAAATGCTTTGAGCACTTAGGAAAGACACTTTGTATTATTTCAAGAGGTTTCTTCATTTCAGGGTTTGCCAGTACATCCTGCAGTCCTAACTTCACTGGAGCAGGATGTGGGAGAAAATGGAGCAGCAATTTTTTTTATCTCGCCTTATTATCTAATACCAATAACAATCCAGCTCAGGAGAATATTCAGAGTGGACTGGGTCTCTTGGTCTCATCGCTGGGGCAGTGCAGACAGATGGAAGACCAGCCCAGCTGAGCACGGATAGCATATTTCCCTCGGTACCCATTCTGACATGCCTTAGTTAGGACAGCTACCTCTCATGTAAAGGCTAATCTGATATATTCTGGGACATCAAATGAAACCAGTGCAGCCGTTTGTTTATTTAAAACAAATAGAGAGAATTTCCACCTAGCACAATGGCAATCATTCTGTGAGGGCAAGCTTTTCAGCTTGCCAGACGGAACAGCCCCTGCTCTCCTCCCCCTCCACACTGTTCTGGGGGTTCTTCCAGGCATTCGCCACCCCAGCCAATTCTGTGGGCTTGGAGGAAGGACAGAAGGGGAAAGCCCAACTATGCTAGCAGAAGTCCTTGCATGGGCTTCTGCTAGCAGGAATCATTGTTTGAATCCTGCCCCAAAGCTGCAACTCAGTAAACAGAATTGCACTGTTAATGCACATTTCTGTTTTGGAGGGTATTCTTTCTATATTCTGTTTGTGTTGTTTTAATATTATTCTGTCTATAACAGTAATGGGGGAGGGACCGACCAAACAAGCCCACAACTCTTAGCACCAGTTAAAAGACATTAGACAAAAGCCTGGTCCACATGTCACACTACGCCAGGCCTTGGCCTTAGGGGGAACAATGAACTCCCATAGCACAGCATGCAGCTGCTATACCATGGCAAGCTAAGGAAAGGTTTGATTTAGCATTTTGATTTAGGATGTTGTCTGAATTCAAACTTGTGGTTGAGCTCTCTCCAGATTTACTGTGAGCTACAACCACAGGGCCCAGGGTGGTAGTGAGGTAGTAGCGAGGGTGTTTTTACTGGCAGTTCTACTGTGGGGTATAGCAAAGAAGAGATAAAAGGAAAACACTTATCTATGGCTATAACAAAGTGATGTAATAGCCCTCCAAGTCAATAAAAGGAACTCTTGCAATGGGCCACAAATTGTCTTAGGTGTGTTGCAGTTCCCACCAGATAAAACACAGTATGGGGGAGGGGGAAGAAGCCTACAGCTTCTGCAGGCCAAGCTGCTTGTGCTAAATAAAGCACATTTTGCAAACCTGCCAACTTTGCTGCTAATTGTAAAAAGTTTATGCAAATGAAGTCATTCACTTCGAGTGCTGACAAACACAGTCAGCATTCTCTTGAAAAATGCAGCAAACTTTTAGCAGCTCATATAAAATTGAAACTGTAAACATATATGCTCCATTCCTAAAAATGAGGCCATCTGTCTTCTTAATAGTGTCCTGAAGCTCAGGGTACAACTTACTGTTATTTGTCTGGAAATGATTGGTAGCATTTTTTTTGTCATTGCCTGGATTTGTAGCTCTGGATACAAAATGGAGTGCGCCATATTTATTTTTAAGTATCTGAAGAACAATCTACTTTAAGAACCTTCTGAGATTAAAATCAGAGCTTCCCTAATTTAATGCTGAAATATTTATAAAGGTCGCTATGTTCAGACAGTTTGTTTTTCCCCCCTTTACACAAAGGGAAAGGTTTCTCCCAAAACTCTGAATGATTTACAAGGACAATTCATAAGTATCCAAGCCTCTTATGGTAAGGAAACTCAAGATTGCAGTCTTAGAAACGCTTTGTTCCTTGTCATTAGCTCTTTTGTACTTTCAAATGTTAAGTGTTACCATGGACCAACATCAGCCTCTTTTAGCTATGCGTACGGGAGATTCCTCAAATCAGAGCAAAGAACAGATGTAAAGCTATTTATTCCACCGCAAGCACAGCATAGGGAAAGACTGCATGCAGGGTTCAGATAGGGAAAGGTACAGAAGGAGGCATTGCTGTTAGCTCTGAAGACTGTTCTTTGTGCTAAGCTGAGATAAAAGACAAAATTAACATCTTTCTGTCTCTGATTATGCTTCTTTCTGTTCCACATTCTTCTTCATTTCAATTAAAGCTCTCTATTCTGCTGTGTAAATTGTGGACATGCCACTCAGTTCATGTTCATGCATATATGACACCCTCTGAGCTACTTTGCCCAAAGCAATGTAGGCTTCATCATTCTAATCCATCTAAGTGGTGCTTTCTAGACTGATTTGTTTTTCCAACAGCAACATCGTAACAGAGTAAATTTATACAAACTGGACTCAAACTTGGCTGAAATTCATAAAGTCTGAGATATTAAGATTATCTGATTATCTTGCTGCATTAGGATCACATGAAAGTCATCTCAGTAATCATTCTGTTTGTTCAGCTGGGTGGATTTCTAGAACACCACTTGGAAAAAAAATTGACTTGCACTCCTAGGAGTTGATGGAACTATTTCTGCTCTAAACATCACTTTCAACACTTTTGTTCCATTACATTATTGCTGCATTTTTAGAAAGAAAACCCCAAGCAACCTGTACCCAAGTTTAGTAGGACACAATCCAGATACAGCCTATAGAGAGGTCTTTGAAGGACATTTGTTTGTTTGTTTGCCCATAAAAAGATCTCTACATAGGGTGATGTTATAAAGTTTTCACTGTTAGCCTCCGTTTTGTGTTCAGGAGTGAACCAAAGATGGCTTTGGCACAAGTGGACAACCATAGGAAACAGACCTCTTGCCTTGATCTCATATACAGTTGTAGCTGATTTCTCTGTGCTTAACATTGTTAGCGAGATCACGAGGAACCAGAATGTTCATTGATTGACTCACCAGGGAGCTAGATCGTAATAATGGTACCAAGGCAAAATAATTGGATGACAAAAGATAAATGGATACAGGTTTTTGCATCTAAAAGCTTGTGCACTAAGCTCTAGAGACAAGATTTCTCCATCAACCAAAAATTCTATAGAAATATAAATAAAAACCAGATAGAACCATAGCACCTGCAGTCAATACAGCATGACTGACCGGGAAACCACTTGCCATGATCATTGTTCTTGATAGGTAAATCCATTCAAGAGGAACATCCACAAGGTAAACCTTCCAAATGAGTCATGCTTATTTGTTTATGTGCTCAACTATCTCATACAAGAACTTTCCCCGGGTGTAACTTAGTCACATTTGTTAATTTCTGAGTAAATTTTAGTTGAAAGCACCCAAAATCTATAATTCTAGACGCACAATTTAGGATTTAAGGTAAGTAATAAATCTTTGTGAAATCAGTAGTACAGTACTTCTGATAAAATATTATTCAGATCAGGCTGGGGAAAAATGTGATTTCACTAGAAGGGGACACATTGAAAACAATTATTATTGCAGCAAATAAACTGTGCAAAAAAATGGAATGTATAAACTCCTCAAAAGAATGGAGAGCATCTAATCCTCTCAATAGTGACAGCAACATGAACTCAATATGAACCATCTTACACCATGGGCTCTTCCACTTCCCTCTTAGCAGGTTGTCATGGGTATGTATCTATGGTACCACCTTTTTATATGGCACACCTATTATAACTTTTGGTTGACTCTTACCCTTTTTTGGCTGCATCGTACAATGAGGAAGGTTTCAATACTATGCTCTTTGAGGTAAGCATTACGTTCTCCTCCAAAACCAAGCTCCACTTCATAGTCACCATTCAGGTAGTTCAGTGTAGCTTTTGTTATGTGGATTCGCCTTGGATGGAGACAAAAGGCAACCAAATAGTAAAAATGAACTGAGAAAGAAGCAGTCTGGAAGAGAAAACTATTACATGCAATGGAATAGTCAAGTTGCACTGAAATCCTACCCTGCCACTATAATCGTTCCACAGTTTTGTGCTTAACGTAGAGGTCAATAACATAAAAACAAACGTTATGCCTATGTTTTCCTGTGCTTATAAGTATCCCTTGACTAAATGGTTATTTTATTTGTTCAACCATTCAACCTATGCCTCCCCAGCTCACCAATAACAGGCAATGGTTCACTGCCACTCATAACTATCCCTCTTCTCTTTGATATGGTCAAGAGACACCCTATGAGAGCTAGGGTCAAGGCTTCTTGGCTCATTTACAAAGAGACCCTTCACCTGACTTCAGATTTTCAAGGAAAGGGTAGATACTTCTCTTTTTAAACAATTTTTAGGGGACATATACATACTGAAAATTTAATGAGGCTACAGCGGGGGGTTCTATTAGTCATACACACACATGCATATTTTACTGATGCTTTTATTGTAGTTAACTGTTTCAATTTTCAGCTGGGAGATAAAAGCAGAGCAAAATCTATTTTAAATGGAATAAAAATGGAATAAAATATTGGAGCAACTTGTGTTGGTGACCATGATTTGTAGTTTCATTAGGGCTAAGCTGCAATGGTGTGTGCAAGTGCTTTTTATTAATACTTTCACACTTTGGGAAAAAAAGAGGGGATGCATCCCCTCTTTTTGCATTTTTTTCAGGTACATGCCTATTTAGGTTCTGTTTCCAAGTGAAAGCAGAAAACAATGGCCCAGCTTTGCACAACAAGCACAACATCCTTAACTTAGCATGACACAGCAGCAAATAAGACTCAGGAAGAGCAAAACGTGGCCTCTCCAAGGACCCTCATGGTTGCATAGTTTTAGTCAGATTGTGCAACCATTTGGTTTAGTGCTGGGGTAGTCAACCTTTTTATACCTACTGCCCACTAATGCATCTTTCTTGACGATAAAATTTCCTTACCGCCCACCAGTGCTTGATGGAAGGAAGATTCAGCTTGTGCCGAAGAACCCCCTACCGCCCACCTGGAATCCTGAAACACCCACTAGTGGGCAGTAGGGACCAGGTTGACAACCCCTGGTTTAGTGTGTCATGCCAAACCAGACCATTCAACCAGACTTGTTTTTGTTACATTGTTTGCATGTGAACATTCAGCACAGCTCTAAATTTCATAAACATTGCTCAAGTTAAAGGATTTGCTGGAATGGCTGGTCAGTAAAGGAAACATCTGCAAATTGAGTTTTAGTGTCTGTGGTTTAGAAAGCAGTTGTGGAGAAAGGAACAATGGAGTGTGAAAGTTTTGGATAATTGTAGCAATCCTTTCCCTGTGTAGGATACACCACCTCCTGAGGCTGGCATTCTGCTACATGGACAGATCAGACCCAGAGAAAGAGGAGTTAGTTTTGCACCATTTGTGCTATACCATTTCTATGGGCCAGATCAGGATTTTAAAGTCCACTTTTTGGTAACAAACATGAACAGGAAGAAGCAAAGAAATGGCACCCGAAGTTTTTATTTGGACACGCTGTACTTCCCATCTCTCCTTTTGTACAGAGAGCGCAACATCAAAAGTTAGTAATTTGCCCGAATCTAGGTAGAATTGCTTGTCCATAATTCCCATATCCAAGAATATAATTAAAGGGTAGATGTATTAATGTGAGGCTGCAGAGAAGTTACTGGAGCAAAATCAAATAGAACAGTAGACTTCAAAGGCAGGACTCTCTTACCCCGCTTTGCCGCCTGCTTCCATGTGATTAGCTAATGTGACATCATTTGACCACACATCAAATTGCCATTTCCTGAGGCCCAAGACACCACAATGAACTCTCCCGCTGTGGATCCCAACTCGCATGTTCACGTTGACACCTGTCACCTCCCGCACTAATCTGAAGAGGATGCAGGAGGGGGAGGGAATGAAAGACATTGAAGAGGGCACACATTTGAACCGAAGAGACTGTCCTCAGTTTTTTAAAAAAATAATGTAAACACACACATACAGTGTTGCTTAAATGCTACATTTCACTAGGTAAGGTAGAAACCACACTGTGAAGGTTGGCTAGACCAGCAACACAAATCACTGGATGGAGGAGTTAGCCAAGGATGTCAATTTGCTTTCAGTTCAAAGCACAGTTTTTGTGTGTGGAGGGGGGATATCTGGGGCACGGCAAAGAGCTCTGGCCTCTGATTTCCACACCAAAGCTGGACATCACTTGCCAGCTTTCAGAGCCTCATTAAACATAATAGCCATGTTGTGAAGAGAAAAAGAACAAGATTCCAGAGCTCTCAATTTATTCACAGAGTACTGGGCATCAAATGTTCCAGAGATGAAACATAATACATATGTGAATTATTCACTGTAGCAAGACATGCTGAGCTGCTGCAGCAGCAGAGCAGACAGGTCTGTCTTCTTCAGTTACTCCCAACAGGCTCCAATGCTAATGAGCTCTCAGATGTACAAAGCTTGCTCCCAAAATTATCACTGGAATCCTTTGTGGGATTTTTGCCTTTTAGGGCAAAAGTTTACTTGGAAGAACACAGCAATTTGCAATGAAATTATATCTAGGGATTAGGGAGGAAACCACTGAGGCGACTCTTGGCCTTGAAAGACCTTAAATGCTTGCTCGTGATTGCTGTCACTGGACATGTTATGGCTGCTGTGGGGAGCCGCCATAGCTCAGCCACTTCCAGGATGGTTGTGCTGTACAGAGAGTAACAGTTAACTTCAGTGGAATGAGAAGATGTCATGGGTCGGATTGTCTAATGAATCAAGCATGACCGCATTGTAGACAGAAACTGCATTCTGCACTCTGCTCCCCCAGTTCTGCCTTTTCTTTGCAGAATGCAACTTTACTGGTGGAAAGGTTTTGCAGACATGGGAAGGTGTCATTTCAGATCAGCTACTGATTTAATAGAACTAGTGCAGAGTGAGTTGAGTGGTTCTTCGTTCAAGCCTCTTGCCTTAGCTGCCCGTAAGGTAGTATCAACCTCTGTTCTTCCTGCCTCAGTGCCTCTCCCCAACCCCTATGCATATCTGTAATGAGAGGATCATACTGCTAACACAACTCATGGGAGTTCTGATATAGTGTTGTGTGCAGCAGTCAGAGTACTTGACATGCTTTCTATGCAACTGTATTAGGAACAAACCACATGTGACACCAGGAGATCTGTGATCAGCTCTACCGTGGAGTTTTACAGCTGTCAGGCCCAGTTCAGAATGGGGTCATGGAGCTCAGAAGTGGTTTTCAACTTTTCTATCATTTGCATGATCTAAGCTCTCCTGTTACAAGCTTTGGGGAAACTGGGAAACAGACAGGAACCAAGAGGGAGGAATTTAGGGCTTGTGGTGAACAAATTATAGGAAAGCCGTTCCAGGGGCTGGGGTTGGCCCTTAGTGGATGCTATGATCTTAGATCACCAGTGTTCCCCAGGCATCAGATAACATCAGATATTTATTTCCCCTGTGAACCTCATGCTGAACATTAGGTGTGAAGACAAATGCAACATAAAAACATAATTCACAGGAGGTCTCTCAGCCAAAGTGTAACCATTGGCTGCACATTTCCCCTCAAACATTATGTGCAATCAGAGGAGCTCCTTGTAACCTTCACTTTCTCCTAGCTTCACAATTTGTATGGCAGCATTTGTATGAATCAAACACTGGCTCAGTTATAGTGTTGCCCCGTCCTTCATGCTGCAGATACCATGTCACTTTTAAAAAAGGCACATGTATGGTTATTCATTGATTGGTTGCCTTATTAATAATAAAGACAAACTTCTTTTTGAGGGCAAAAATGCTGCAGAGATGTGAGAGAAGAAGAAGAGAAGAAGAGTTTGGATTTGATATTCCGCTTTATCACTACCTTAAGGAGTCTCAAAGCAGCTAACATTCTCATTTCCCTTCCTCCCCCACAACAAACACTCTGTGAGGTGAGTGGGGCTGAGAGACTTCAAAGAAGTGTGACTAGCCCAAGGTCACCCAGCAGCTGCATGTGGAGGAGCGGAGATGCGAACCCGGTTCACCAGATTACGAGACTACCGCTCTTAACCACTACACCACACTGGCTTCTTGATGACATCATTGATGTTGGTCCATCAGTGATCTGCACAGTGATTGCCGAATTCTGCTAAAAATTTGCAGCATCATTTTTCACAACTTTTACCTCACAAGGAATATACTGATAAAATGAATGCAGCGAGAACACTTCCAAACAGGTTGCTTTCATCTTTATCCTATGGTGTTCCACATGGTTGTGTACCTGAGGATGGCTAGGATTTTTTTTGCATACAGCAAAACAAAGTATGTGAATCAAGCCTTGGTTGTTGAGGGCAGAATCTAAGCTGTGGTCTTTGTTTATTTTAGTGCTGCTCACATCAGGCCAAGCAATTGTCGCATTTCTCAAAACTGTCCTTGACAACATTCAGTGCAAGCCTGTTCATATCTACTCAAAAGTAAGCCCTACTGACTTCAATGGGACTTAGTTCGAGGGGAGTATATATGAATGCACCTGAGGTGCTAAATCCCACATAATTCCTCCCCATCCCACTATGAATCTTTTCTAGTTTGGCCCTGATACAATGTGGTGCTTTCTCTAATTCACTGGGGCTGCAAGCAAGGCTCTGTGGCATTTCCACAGAGCAGCAGTGTGTTTTATATAAAGCACCGATACAGGCACTGAAGTGCACTCCATTTTTGTTTACAAATTGTTCCCTGTCAGCTTTGAAAAACCTGGTTCCCACTTTGTGTGGGATGAAAAGGATTCAACAATCTTATCTCTTTGCTAAATCTGGAGTGAGAGACTTTTTGTTCTCACTGCCTCCTCCATATTCTCTGATGAAAAAGAGAATGCTTCTCAGACAAGCGAAGGTAATAAAAATCAGAATGCTGGAATGGCAAGCACTAAAACTGCTGGTCCTTTTAGGATGCTCTTTATGCTTGTGAAACATTAACACAGCACTATTTTGCTTTCGTAGCTTTTCAGCATCTATTTCGTGGAAATTATTATTATTATTATTTATTGAATTTATATACCGCCCTATACTCGGAGGTCTCAGGTAAAGAGCTGAAAGGATAAGTAAGAAGCGGATTGTTTACCTTGAAATGGAGATGTCAAGTATTGGTTGAAAGAATGGGTGCAATCCAAAGAAAAGTTGCTGCTCTATGTCATACAGAAATCTATATGATTTAAGATGACAATCAACTGCTTGCATATGCAAGTTCAAGGTGCCCCTAACTTTGTTGGGATTTTGCTCAATATCTTTAACAGAGCCTTCAATTGTGTGAAATATCAAGTTTTTGACCACCCACAGACTCTTCCTCAGGCAAAGAAGTTCAACATAAAACAAAAGAGATCATAATGTCCTTACTTTTTCAGGTTTGGCATCTTAGCACACAGCTGTTTTGGGACATTAGCTGGGTCACTGCCATGCTCATCAATCTAGTTGCCCAATCTAGTTGCCCAACTAGTTGCCCAAGCTGCCCTTCAGCTTGAAGCAGACGATCAAAGAGAACTTTAACTGCAGCTAATCCAGTTGTAACACCAGCAGCCATCTAGACACAAAGAGCATCTGCACAAGCCAAGTTAAGCTAAAGAGCTCAGCAAAGTGCTGAGCACTTTGGTGAGAATATTTTTTACCTAGACTCTGGAGGGGAATTTGCATCCAGTCCATGGCATGACAGGAACCAGCTTTGCCCCACTTTGATCCCAGTTTGGATCAGGGCCCTGCATAGTTGCTATCTGCATGACAGGAACCAGCTGCATCATCATGCAAGCATGGATGCTGGACATGTATGCCAGAATATGCAGTCATGGAAAGTGATGACAATACACCGTTTGTACCACCACTTTGCCCTAATAGGAACCCACGACCCAAATATGCTTCTCCCATTCACCAGGTTTGGCACTTCCATAGGCCGCTGTTAATAAGCTACTTGTAAATTAGCACTGAGGATCTGTTTACCAAAAACTTCACCATGGTCAGTTTGTTGTTTTACTGACTCCAAACAATAGTAAGTGACTTCTTGAAACAGCAACATGAAGGAAGCAGAACTACAAAAGGGGAGGGACAATGCAAGGTGTGCCCCCCCCCAATTCCAGTATATTTAAATTCCTTAAACATTCATCATATTGATATTTCAAGCATACACTCTTCTTCGGGGACATTTGCTTCATACATTTGTTTTGTTCTTTTTTGCACTTGACAAGTCAAGTTAATATTCTCTAGTGTTGTGTTTCCCTGTGCTGAAGAGCTGCAGAAGTACTTTGCTGCATGTATAGTGCAGGGATGACAAGTACTCAGTGGGTCACAACACAGCTGCTGCAAGTGGAACAATGTCCTCCTCCCCCCAGTCTTCTTTATTGCACTTGTATCTGGGGCTTTCCCTCAGTACCAGAAGCTTTCTCTCTCCTATTCCACCCAAACCTTTGGTCTCAGCTAGACTTTGACCTGCTGGTATGAAACAGTCATATTGATTTACAAGATATAAAATTAATTGGAAGCACACATATATACACACACAATCTATATCTATATCTATATCTGTATCTATATTTGTTATTTATCCACTGCCCCTCCCTGTGGTGCTTGGTACTTACGAGATAGCCTCTATCATATCCATTCCCATTTCAACACAGCAGTGCGCGTGGTCTGCTCTTGCCTCGGGTAACCCAGACACACAGTAATAGCAATCGCCTAGGATTTTTATACGTAAACAGTGATTCTCCTGCAAAACAATAAGAAGAAAAATAAGCACTTTTACTTCAGGATGTTAACAGTTTGCCACTTAAGGCAATGAATTTTTTTGCAGAAGTCTAAAGCAACATCATGCGAAAGGCACCGTTATAATACATTTGGGGAAGCAGAAGGAAGAGGGGAAACTTACAGCTGCAAGTTTATCAAATCTGGCAAAGAGTTCGTTCAGCGTCATCACCAGCTCCTGGGCAGTACACTGGGAGGCCAGGCTGGTAAAGCCCTCAATGTCGGCAAAGAGAATGCTGCAAGGATAGTAAAGGGGAAAGAAAACCGAGGGAAACACAGGTATTGGTAAATAAATGCTTCTCATTCATTCTGCCATCTACAAAGTTATGCAGAACTTTCCTTATCCATAAGAGCATGCCCCTATGTTGGACTCCTTAAAATACCATTGAGAAATCAGTTTCAGTATAGGTGTGAATCCCTAAAACTCTTTAATATATGTTTTTCCATAGTGTATTTTTTTCTTGTTTGAGACATCCTATATCTCATCCTCTTTTGATGAATTTATCAGGGCACCTCGACAAGAGACAGGCTATATACAGTTTCTCAGATACAGCCCCAAATATCTCTGACCAGGTAGCTATAAAAACAAAAAAAGCTCTGTGTGTAAGAGCTCAATGGGTTGACTGTGCTAGCTAAACTGCATATATTGCATGGCTCTAAGTTTTCTTCTTTGCTATTTGTGCTCTGCGTTTTAATATGAAAGGGGTCGTATGACCACAAAGAAGAACAAGTGACTGAAGATATAGCACAAGACAATTCGGACCAATGCATATTTTATATCTGCTTTACATTCCACAAATTAGTACTTTAAGTATGCTCAGTTTAATCGCTCTCTATGCCATTCTGGGATAAGTTTAAATTTTAACAAATGATATAGTGATTCAAGTTTATACCAAGTGGTATATAAATTTATCATCATTGTCGTTGTCAGTGTGATGCACAACACCCACCCACCCACCCACCCATATTTTTTCATTACAAGGATATAATGCATTTTTACACAAAATACTAAAATGCATATAATAAAAACATGGTCAACTTTATCTATATTTATAGATGACCAGTATACTAGTATACACCTCATTTGATTCCACTAAATTAACATTAAAAAAATAAAGGTTGCATACATGTACTTACACTGGTTTGTACTTTTGTTTCAGTGACTCAGCTGACCATTACTTGGTGCTCCCCATCCCTTTCCACTTATGCTGAGTCAGAAATGTGAAGCATTGCTTAAGCTCATCATATTAACAGGTTAAGATACTCACAAGTTAATAATAATGATTATAGCAGAATCAAGAATAGCTGTTAAACCAAGTGAGGAAAGCCCTGCCTCCAAAAGACTAATCCCTGCCTCACAGGCCTGTGAAATTACTTCACTGGGTAGGTAGAAACCAGAGGACCTTTCAACTCCTGCTCTACTACTTTCCACCTGAATTTATTATTGATCATTTATAATTATTGAGGATTAATAGTAATTTGAAATGTACTGTGTATGGTCTGCCCTTAGCCCAGCCTTGGCTGGGGAGGGCGGGGTATAAATAAAAATAAAAATAATAATTATTATTATCTGATCACCTCCATATTTTAGAAGCCACTGTTACGCATTCTGTGAAACCTCTTTTGGTTATTTTTAATATGTTGTGAACCACCATGAACTTTCTTTTCACAACAGAAGGATGGTGTGGGTGTACACACACACACACACACACACAGGCACGCACACACACACACACACACACACACACACACACACAGGCTGCCCTCCTATGGTCCCTAGAAGGGCAACCCAGGGGCAATTTATTGTATCTCCTTCTTTGACAATGGACAGAGAGAGAGATTGCTTTAGAGGCAATGACTCTCACAGCACAGTCAACTAGACGAGGGTAGGGTGGTGCTGAACCACCTCTTCTGTTCTCTTGGAAGAAATAATGTCCAACATTATAATTGCTGCTAAGATTATAACAGCTAAAAATTGAGAGGCAAAACATCTCTCTTACTATATTGAAATCAACTTAGAAGTTTAGTCCATTGTAACTGATTACAAAACAATACATGTAAATCATTTTAACAGGTTTAAGAAAATATTGGTGGTTTTTTGGGTAATGTTTTGGAACAAGTTCAATGATAATGTTCAACCTGCTTATGCTGCTTACAAGCTGCTGTAATAGTATTTCTTTATGCTCCTTACCTTTGATTTATTTTTCTTATAAAAAAAATATAATATTCACTGTACTACATAATCCACAGGAGGAAATAATAAGGCTCACAGTATGTTTCCAAGTTGCATTGATTTTTATACATGACCTTGCAAACTAACATTATTTAGCTTCAGCAGCATACCAAGCTCAATGACTCTAATGAGGAGATCCCAGCAGACTTCAGGGATGCCAAAATTACCAATCTCCTTTAAAAAGGTGATAGAATGGATTGCGGAAACTGTCAAGGCATCTGTATTAGCTGCGGCTGGCAAAATTCTTGCAAGGATCTTAGGAAAACATCTCCTAACAATATCGGAGGCTACCCTTCCTGAATCCCAAAATGGTTTTCAACCTTCTAGGGGGACAGTGGACATCATTTTCACCACTCAACAGCTTCAAGAAAAATACAACCCCAAGCAAAACCAACCCCTGTATATGGTGACCTGACAAAGTCAACACTGTAAATCATAATGCCCTGGGGACTGACCTTCTGAAAATCGGCTGCCCAGATAAATTTGTGAACATCCTTTGGCTCCTCCATGATATGACAGCAACAATTGCAGATAACAATGACTCTCAAAGTGAACTATTCACAGTGGAATCAGGTGTTAAACAGGGTTGTGTAATCGCCCCAACTCTATTATATTCATCACCATGATCCTACACTTTGTCGAAGGGAAACTCCCTACTGGAGCAGAAATCATTCTTTGAACAGATGGAAAGCTCTTTAATCTGAGCAGGCTGAAAGTAAAGAAAAAGGTTACCATAACTTTTGTCACAGAGCTTCAGTATGCTGATGACAACGTAGTGTGTACACACTCAGAGGATGACCTCCAAACCATCCTAAATATATTCGCAGAAGCATACGAAAAGCTTAGTCTATGGCACAACATCCAAAAAACCAAAGTGCTGCACCAGCTAGCACAAAACAACCCCTCTACAGCGCCACAAATCTAACGCAATGGTGTAACGTTGGAAAGTGTCGATCACTTCTACCTGGGCAGTTACCTTTCCACAAGGGCTGACATTGATGCTGAAATCCAGCATCACCTAAGCTCTACGAGTGCAGCTTTTTCCTGATTGAAGTACTGTACAGAGTGTTTGAGGACCGGGACATTCGCGGGGAAACCAAAATGCTTCTTTACAAAGCTATTGTACTACCAACCTTACTGTATGCTTGTGAAAAATGGACCATGCCATCTCCAACTCCTCAAAAGATTCCATCAATGGTGACTCCAAAATTTGTTACATATCACTTGGGAAGACAGGTGAACTAATGCCAGTGTACAGGAAGAAGCAAAGATGACCAGTGTTGAAGCAATGATTCTTCAACTTCAACTTCGTTGGACTAGTCATGTTGTTCGATGCCTGAATACTGTCTTCCAAAGGAACTATTATTCCGAAATTAAAAATGAAAAGCATAATGCTGGTAGTCAACAAAAGAGGTTTAAAGACTCTCTCAAGGCAAATCTTTAAAAATGTAGTATAAACACCGACAATTGGGAAACACTGGCCTGCGAGCACTCAGTCGGAGAACAGCCTTTACCAAAAGTGTCATGGACTTTGAAGATGCTCAAACTCAGGACGAAAGGCAGAAACGTGCTAAGAGTTTGGTAAACCCTCACATGATCAACTTCTGTTTGGAAACCTATGTTTTCTATGTGGAAGGACGTGTGGATCCAGAATTGGCCTCCATAGTCACTTACGGACTCACTGTAAGTGAAGATCATGTTCATGGAAGACAATATTACTCGGTTACAAGTGATAGCCAAAGAAAACACTAATGTAATTATTTATTGATCTGATTAAAGCCAAGAATGGGTCAAGACTAGCTCACTCCATTTTACATTTCAATCTTTATTTATTTTCTGATCTTATCTAGAGCATTTGTACCCTTGCTCTTCAGCCAAAAAGGCTCTCAGAGTGGCTTTCATACAATTATGCGGGCTTGCAGTTGAAAAGACACAACACACAAGAGAAAAGGTACAGGGTGGAAACAGGCACCAATTATTCAAAGAGCATTTTAGAGTGTTTGGAGTACTTAACTCATACACCTCATAGAGTAACCAGTTAATTACAGCTTAAGCTTTAGTGGGCTAGAGTCCACTTAATTAGTGGCATCTTCTAAAGCAGATCAGTACTGCTGAGCCCTGTTGCTGAGGTTGAGAAACAGTGGCTTGCCTTAAGACCAATGTGTGGTTGAAATGAGATCTGAAACATGGACTTCGGGGGGGGGGGGGATATTTCTAATACCAGAACAGTTCCATAATAATGGGTATATAATTTTTTCCCATGGCACATCACAGAAATTGCAGTACACTAAAACAAGCATGCTTCAGCAGCATCCAGACGGACAGCAGGTGACAGCTTTAGAGATTTTCCAAGAATGATCTGACCTTGCATATGACTACAAAATAAAATGGTCTATTCCTCTCTGGGAGAAAAGTTATTTGTGGAAAGGAAGAGCAGTACTCTTTGGCCCAGGATTCCACCACCTCCCAAGATATCCATGTTGACATATCACAAGGAAGTTCATGTGCAAAATAACTACACCAGCTTATAACTTTGCCTCCACAAACTGAGCTAGAAGTTTCTTGCTTCTGCCTGATGGATCATGAGTACAAATTTGATCTGCCTCGGCTAACTGAAATTTCAAATGTGCCCATTTAAGTATCATGACAATGAATGCTCACAAAAAGAACACCACTCTTTAGAAAAAGCCTTTCTATTTTAACTGTATGATTCTAACCTTGTAAAATAAATATAGCAGTTGCACTTCACAGAATTAACAGAATCATAGAATAGTAGTGTTGGAAGGGATCCTGAGGTCTATCTGGTCCCACTCAATCTTAATTTCACATATATGCTTATGGGGTCTGAACTGAGGGTGACACACTAGGAATGAGGCCTTGGGGTCACAGTAAGGTAAAGGTAAAGGTACCCCTGCCCATACGGGCCAGTCTTGACAGACTCTAGGGTTGTGCGCTCATCTCACTCTAGAGGCCGGGAGCCAGCGCTGTCCGCAGACACTTCCG